GTCTCTGAGTAGAGAAACGGCATGGAGCCCTGGGGGAAGGCAGCCGGTTGGTGGGGACAAGCGGGTCTGCACACACGGCCCCCAAACAGCAGTGGCGTCCTGCTGCTCCAGGCCCCTCGTGGAGACCCACGAGCCCCCGAGCCCCTCCAGTTTCGGAGGCGCTGTCAACAGCCAGGCCCCGTTCTTGGATTTCTATGAGACTTCATCCTGCCGCCATCCTGGGGCTCCTGTAGGTTGGTGTCTGCATTTTAAAACCAAAAGAACCCATGTAAAGTGGATGCTTTTTATTTCACTCTATGAAATAGGATCCCAGATCACCTAGGTATTTTAGGAGAAGGTGAGTGGGTTGGGGTTTTGAGAAAAATGAACAGGGTCATTGTGAAGAATGAGAAAAAACTGGTGAGGAAATGTTCGTTGGATAGCGCTGCGAGTCCAGCTGAGGCTGGAAACCGGGGATCTGTAGCAGCATCGTTCTGTGGGGTTGTAGGGATTTTTCTCTGGGGCTCAGCGTATAGAAACCAAGCAGCTAGCCAGTTGGACGGCTCCAGGATTTATCTGGGTGAGGGGGCTGAGCCTGTGGGCCGGGGACAGTTGCTCTTGCCATGGGGTCCAGTCTGAGGAGAGTTGAGGGTGAAGGGCAGGGGTTCTGATGGGGAGAAAAATAGACAATTGTCAGAGGGCTCGCTGAAATTGAAGACAAGGTAGGGGAGCGAGAGCCAGAGGGTCAGGAGGTGGTGGAAGCGTGAGAAGTTTGCTTTTAAGGTTTCAGAGGGAGCCCGTTTTGGGTTGTGTCATGTTCTGAGTGTGGCTGTGGGAAAGAGCGGGTGACTTGATGTTCTGTAGCCTTTGTACCCCCCACCCACTTAGATAATCATTTAGGTAACAATAAATGTTTATGATCTTGACGTTTTAAAGGTTATTCTGTAGATGCAGAACTAGAAAAACTAGTAAGCAGAGTGTTTATTTTTTTAAAATTACTTAAAAAAGGTTGTTTACAGAGATGTGGGTTTACATAACAGCAACAACAGTTTAAAATGTACAGGCTATTTCGTATTATTGCACTTACTCTTTAATAATATAAGGCATTTTTATTTTACATAAATAAAGAATTATGTATATCATACAACAGGTGTGGTGCCAATTAAGTCAAACAAAGTTAAATGAGATGTGTATGGTAGAATAGAAATGAACTCAACCTACTTCAACCTTCATGGTCTATCCTTGCAACTATGATTTACATATTATAACACATATTTACCTTCATAGCTTATTGTGAATTACCAACCAGTTAAAAAACCAAAACAATGAAAGTTTTAGTAGGACAATACCATTAGTGTTTACTTCAGGAAGTGTGGGAATTTATTAGACTAATTAGAAATACTAGTCATGCCTTGAACACTGAAGACCAATAAATAGCTCTCTATCTTAGGGTCAAAAACAACTGCTTCTGCTTCCTCCCTTATGTTCCAACTGTCCGCCAGGGAATCCTTCTGGCAAGATCTACTAGAAATGGCTGATGACTTTAACATAGTTGGGTGAGCCTGAGGTTTGACCACGCGCCCCTCAGAGACGAGGGAGGGTCAGGCAGTCTCAGAGGCGACGGCCCACTGCTCCAGAACGCCCTGCCTGTTCAGAGGACCGCGCATTCTCAGTAGGCACAGCTGGGAGGGTAGAGGCAAAAATTAGTTTTCAGTGTTGACTTCAAATAGTCTCGTGTCAAGAAAACAAACCACAAAACTGACCTCCAAAGACTTAAAAACAACCTAGCATGCACCTTGCACTGAATTTCTATAGTATCCTACCTGGAATTGTAGTGAAAAGTAGAAGCTAAATCAATCAGGTCTTTCTAGCTAATTTCTGTACTACACTTTCTTTTGTATAACCTGTTAAAAAAAATGAGAAACCTACGCTCGCACCAACTAGAGACTTCACTCCCATCTGAGAGATCCCTCTGGGCCGGTTCCACCAAGGTTGACTGGGATGGGTCGCACGGAAAAGCGGTGTGCAAAGGTGCCGGCTCGTGCGCCTCCGTGATTGGGGCGTAATGGCCCGCGTGCTTCTCTCCGAGCCACAGACCCAAGCTGCAGGTTATTTAAAGAAGCTCCAGCATAAAACCTTAGCGTCGTCATGTGCGCCTGTGGGCCGTCTCACCTGTATTCCCAGACTCAATTAGCCGGCGTGCACACCCCAGCCCTGTGGATTTGGGTTGTAACTCCAATAGTCCTGCTCTGTTACCGTGAGAGGGGGACGCGCTCTTGTTCTCCGTTCTGCTCCTCCTCACTGCATTTTGGTAAATGAAGCTGATGAGGATTTGAAGTCCAAGGGGAGAAAAGCCAATTTTGTGACAAGGAACAGCACCTACGAAGTTCCTCCTTCGAAAGGAGAGCAGCTGGGACAAGTTTCACAAGCAGCGTGAGTCACAATAGTCTTCTGAAGGGGAGCAGTTTGGCAAAAGGAAGAATTTGCAAAACAGAAGGACAAAAATAGCAAAAACTTCCATCACTGCAGAGATATGTCATTACACCCAGGTCAGGAAAAGCGATCCAGCGCTTGGAAACAGCACATTTTTCAAGCTTGTTGGGAAGGGGAAAACAACAACAAAAGTCCCCTAGAAGGACTATTTTACGCTCCTCTATTTGGATTGTAAATATAATGCCTATGTGTATAAATCCAAGGATCCTAAAAAGATACTTGATTTCTAAAAATTCAGTTTAAATTACTGGTTGGAGTACATAAAATATAGACATGGAAACCCAGTGACTGCGATGGTTTTGCCTGCTCTTGTGTTGACCAGTCTTGACTGCAAGCACTTATTCAAGACAAGGTCCAAACCGGATACAAGGTGCTTTCAGAGCTGGAACTTCCTGCTCATTGTAAGCAGTAAAGTTCATGGCTATTTAGTACAGTTTATCAGAACTGCATTTCTGTAAAAGAGCCTTTCAACCTATACTTCTAGGTTACGACCAACACTTCATGGTGCTCAGTAACCCACTGAATTGGACTCTGCATCCATACATTGCACATTACACTCACTAAAAAATATCACTTCCTGTATTTTCCTTTTTCATTTTTGGATAATTCCTGAGCTCAGCCTAACCATTAGATAATGAATGATACATATATATTCTTTTTAAGTCTCATTTTCTTTCAACATACAGGGTAACATACAGACCACAGCTCTCTCCATTGAATGTGCCTAAAGCGTGGTTACTTACAAAATTATATAAATCTAGAGTCTGTTTAGTGGACCTTTGTGTCATCCCTCAGATTCTGCAGGCTCCCCGGTTGCGTGGCCTAGGTGTGCTGGGAGGGGTGGCAGGAGGGAAGTCCCAGGAAAGCGAGAGAGGGCCTCGTACCGCGCCTGTATTCCCGTCAGTGAAAGTGGAAGGTGCGGGGCTGGCACCGGAACAAAACAAACCCCCTCCCCCGCCCCCGGCCCCGGGCGGTCCAGGTGGACGGCTTCGAGTTGAGCTTCAGCTGTCAGTAAACAGGTGGAGATGGTTATAGTCCTTGCCTACACCAGTGTTTCTCTGCTGCTTCAGGAACCTGCAGTTTAAAGAAGTCCCTCTGATATGCTAAGTATGAAGGGAACGGAGAAAAGGAGATTCTTGTTAAAAACTGTGAGTGTCACTACTCGTGCTTGTTTAATGAAGAATTCCGATGCTTCCTAATGACTAACTGCACAGGTCCCTCAGGGACGGACTTCATAATGTTCCAGGCATCGAAGTGCATGAGCCCGACCAGGGGTCTCCCGTTAATGGCAAGGATTTCGTCTCCAGCTTCTATTGTTCCAGCTTGTTCAGCTGCACCACCTGTCGGGGAACATAGAGGGCGATGGCTCGGTGCGTTCAGAGTGTTCACGAGGAACTCCAAGTAAACTAGAGACTGCACTGAGAAAGCTCTCTACGTGATGTGTCTGTAGCTATAGCCTTAGGGTGGATGCGCAGCATATATATCCATAAAAAGAAATCAGACTGCATGGAAAAACTCAAATCAGTGACCCTTTCCCTGCCCCCGCCCCCGCAAAATATAAGCAACCAAGGGGAAGCTATTTCAAAAGAATTCAAAATAAAGTTGAACAAAGGAAATCAATAGCTAAAATCCAAATGGCCAAGAAATGCAGAAAAAAAACAGGTCCAACTTCTAATCGTTAACAGTAGTTAATGTATCTTAAGTTTGTGATTTACTTAATCGATTATTTAAAATGTTTAACATATTTCTACACTGCAACTTTCTGTATTGATAGCAAGTTTACAAGCTTTGAAAAACAAGTTCAAGCCCTCTATTTACTTTCTTGCATATACACATATTAAAAAGAAACGCACACTGGCCACGGAGGCACTTACGGAAAAAGGGCATTGAAAGAAAAATTCCCAAATCTGAAAATAACTTTCTCAAATTTAATCCTTAGAAAACTGACCAGATGTAGCTATTCTATCCTAAAGTTCTGAAAATCATTGTTACATATTATCTGATGTCTATATATGATTATAGTTGATTTTAAAGATTAACAAAACAATAAAAATATAGCTGGAACAAAGTAAGTTCAAATTCACCCCACTCAAGGACAGAAACATTTTATGTTGATAGAGGCAGATACTGTCCTTAGTAGAGCAAGCCCCGATACTAATTTTTAATAAAGCAATGCTAATAATTAGTATTAAATTTAGTAATAAAACGATTAATGTTTAATATACTAGCAATATCAGTATTAAATGATGTATTACATATACATATATACTGCTATTGTTAGTATAATTATATTGTTAATACAATTATTCAGCTCAGGAACCTGAAGAGACTTTTAAGAACTGTCCAAGATTATAAATTTAGGTTCTACTGAACCTAAATCAAATGAATGATTTTAAATAGACATATCTATCAATCATTTTACTTTCCCATAGTCTGGTATTTGCGGTGTTAGTGAACATGATTCTGGACCATGGTAAGTATCCCTGACTGGCCATTCTGACGGCATTACTTAGCTTGGTATGTTCACATCAGTTAACAGCTGATGTTAAGAACACGGAGACAGGAACTTGGAGTTAGAGATACAGTACATAGGAGTTAGGGGCACACACTAAAGCTAGACCGCCTGGTTGTATCACTTACATCCGTGACCTTAGTTAGGTCCCTGTGTAAGTGCCCTGTGGCTCAGCCTCTCCTTTGTAAAATGAGGATGATAATAGTACCTATGTGATTGGATTGTCATGTGGATGACGTGAGTTAATATGTATAAAACACAGGCTGACTCCCATTAACCTGATGTGTCCTGAAGCATTAAAAAACATTTCAGATTCTCAAAACCCATTTCTGATTTCTAAAGGAAAGGCGCTGACACACACAAAGGACACGGATGGCGGGTTGGGTTTTCTAGGGCATTACCTTTGTATACTCTCTTTATGAACAGGGGCCCATCCCCAGACATGGACGATTTTCCTCCATCCAGGCTCAATCCCAGCCCAGCCGAGGTCTTCAGCACTTCAACGCACAGAGCATCGTGTGCAGCTACGCTTCTCCCTGCAGTAAAGATGACAATGACAGGGACACTCACCCCCTCCTGTCCAGGCCCCGCCAGTGCGCTCCCCAGGTCCACTCGAGCCCCCTCTGCTGCGAAGAGCCGGGAACACTGAGACCAGCGCTGGGGCCGGAGCGCCCTCCTGGCGGTGCCCCTGCGCCCTCTGCTGTCCTGAGCACCGGCTGCCTGTGCGGAGCGGGCCTCCACGCCCATGCAGACCCCTCCCAGGGCCGTGCTGCTCTGGTCAAGCCCCCACCCACACGGCGGGTGCATGTAGCAGGCTGGGGTCACACTTGGGGAAGAGCGTGCGTTTCAGAAACCGAAACGGCGCCTCGTTCTGAGTCAGTACTGAGTGTGGCTTCCTGTGGAGCCTTGGTGTGACAGTGCAGGGCATGCACACAGAGTGTGTTTCTGAACCCCTTTTCTTAAGCTCTCCTTTGTTGATTAAAATCTGTCTTTAAACACGTTGCCCCCTCATTTCCATATGTTCTGTGACAACAGGAAACGACGCGAACCCTGATGTTTCCTAAGGTCACATCTCGGTGTGGACTTTCTGCTCTTTCAGCGTTGACTTCCCCATCATACGTTTCTTGTTCTTACCAGCTACTTAGGTCCTAAAGGGAGGATGGAAATGCACGAGGGCTTCCTCCTTAGGACGTTTAGAAAAGCTGTCAAATAGTCGTTTTAATCTTCAACAGCCTGGCTTTAACTACAGGCTGTTGAAATGGGTTAAAGAAAAAAAAACCCATGTGTCACACTGCGGCTGCAAGACTCACCCACAAACACAGGACTTGACTACATTTAATTTCTCTGACCCAGGATGAGATCCCAGGTCGCCTTTACTGTCCTTCATGTTCAGCCTGAGCCTGCACCGCCAGCCGCTCATACCCTGCGGGCTGCTGAACGGGGTCTCACCTCCTCCGGGCTCCAGGGCGACAGTCTTTCTGGACAGCGAGCCCTTCCCATTGGCTGTGGGTGGCTCCTGCCGGGGGCAGGGCCTGGGCTGCTCGTTTCCTTTCTTGACGACCACGAGGACATCTCTGTGCAGCTGTGCCTGGTGCAGAACCTTCAGGACATCCCCATGGGCTAAGCCAGCCAGTGAGGCGCCATTGACTGACAGGAGGACATCCCCTCGGTTCATGGTCCCTTCCTGAGAAGCTGCCCCCTGAGAAAATACCCTGTGGACCTGGGCAAGGAGAGGACAGAGCCAAATTCATTTATGACCTCTGGTAAAAGCAAAAGTAATCGCAAATGTGTAGTAGAGGGACCTTCTAATGGCAAGTTTTCCAAATCATCTAAACATGTGGTTTATCAAAAACATCCAGGGTGAGGGATGGAATTACAAACGTCAGTGCCAGCATCCGAATGCATTTCTATGCAGCTGCCCGCTAGTGTGCAACATGGGCCTGACACTCCACGGGGCACTAAAATACAAAGAGGAAGGGGACCTGACCTTGTCCAGTGAGGGTGGCCTCCCTAATCATCTCAAAGGCCCTGAGTGATACAAAATTTTCGGTGGTTCTTGAGAAATAATTTCATAAGCAGATACAGGTTTGCTCAATTAATTCTGATGTTTTCTACATAAACTGAAGAGGTGAGTTAGAGGCTACAGATGAGTGTATTCACGTGTATCGGCATCTCCTGGGTCGCTCAGCCTGTACGTCAGCGCTGTGTGAAAAGGCCTGCCTTTGTCGATGGAAATAGTATACGCTACTCTCCCTGCATTCCCACTTCCGTTTGGGTCGCAGTGAACAAACAGCAGCAGCCGATGAACTCACTGAGGTGTGTTTTGTCCTGATCAAACTCTGAGCTGCTTCAGCAGGGACTTCCCTGAGAGCAGCTCGACATTGTCACTCACCACAGTCGATTTTGGTTCCACATCTGTCCCTCCTGCCACACTGAATCCCAGACCTGAGCCTTCTTTTTTAGTCAAGACTATGAAGCAAACATCTTCTTTATTCTAGTGGGAAGAAACAGAAAAATAAAAGTATATTCCGTGTGCCAAGATAAAGATCCTCCTACAGTGTATGAAGCAAACGTCTTTATTCTAGTGAAAAGAAACCGAAAAAAGTATATTCCGTGTGCCAAGAGCAGTGAGTGTGTGCTGATAAAAATCCTCCTACAGCTCTGAGATGTATCACCCTGAAGTCCAGTGGGTTTTCAGGAGCCCTCAGAGTATTTGGACTTGGAGGAGCCATGGCTTTATGGGTTTTCAAGGGCACGTCCTGTAGCTACAGAAGCATGGCAAGGTGGGCATGAACCAGGACGGGGGCAGGGACGGGGCAATTTAGAAGCTAGGGGAGCCATTCTAGGCACCAGAGTGTGTCCTCCCAAATTTGATCGTGAAGAGAGTTCTTTATTCTACAGTTGAGCCTGCAGTTGCGCAAACAGCTCAGCAGCAAAGGGAGACGCGTTAAGCACGAAGAGCAGGGTAAGAGCACATTGAGGCCACAAGTTCTGTGCCCTCTTCCTCCCATGTTCAGGTCACTGGATTCCAGGTGCAGCCAGTGAAGCATACTCATAAAACACAACGTGTGTTTGAAACTGTAAAGTACGTTACACTATTTAAAGTACATTAAAACTGTCAACTCAGTAGTGATCTAGTCTACTGCATTCTTAGTAGAGTCCTGAGGTTACGTAACAAAAGACTGCCATGTATTTCAAGTGTCGATCAAGATACCTTGATTAAAGGTTTTAAAGTAAAAATGAGCAGGTCTAATTAATTACACTGAATTTTGACTTCACCCACCCACACTCTAGAGATGATTCATCAACATTTTAAAGATCTCCATTGCTAGGTTTCCATGAAGTGATTTATAATCCATCAATTCGAGATGTTCTCAAACAGCAGTAGAAAAAGAATCTAATAATAACCATTAAGGATTGCTTTGACGAGAGACAGTGAAAACGTTGGAAGAGAAAACCACCTCTGTACTGTGCTGGGGGAGGAACCCAGTATTTGAAAAGTGCTTGGTTCTATTAGTAAGTCCTAAGGGCTAATCTTACGCATTTTACATTTCTCTAAAGAAGTCTGTTCAAACCAAGGCTCCATATGCTGACAACACAAAGTCCCACAGAACTTTCAGGGGATGGGCTTTTGACTTGATGGGCAAGTTCGGCCATATGTGTGCTCAGACCCTGTTCAGTGGAGAGAAGAATGATGACAAGGCTTTCTCAGCAAAACGGGGCCATGTGGCCTGGCAGATGACTCTGTGCAGCTCCTCAGAGGTAACGTTTGGTGCTGAAACAGGAATACTACTTAAATGCATGATTGGAGCAAGAGACAAAATATTTGAAAATGAAACTCTTCTGCATCCCAGGATGTTATCACCAAAATTTTAGTTTATTCAAATTACCTTTTTCCAGTTATGTTTGAGGATACAAGTGTGCAGACCAGATTTTGCCCCTGAGAGGCATAGAGCCCAGCATCAGGAAAGCTGGATCTCCCACCAGGGGCTCCCCAAGGTGCAGGCCGATAGCAATCAGAGGACCAGGGCCTGTTTTCTGACTCTGGTCTTCTGATTGTTTCTGGGATGCTCATCCCAGAAGCCACAAGCAGTTGTTTGGGGCATTTCCATTTTCAGCACCAATGAACGATACTCATTGGAGAAAGGCAAGGCAAACTTCTGGTCTAAAGATGGCAGACTGAGGACCTCTCGTTCACTGCTCCTTTGAAACCAACTGAAGACAATAAGAAAATTGGGAGAACGCTGCGCTCTGATGAAAGTAAGCCTCATCTTTAACACCAAGCCACAATACCGGCCTGGCCGGAGGAGAGTATGGAACCAGGGCAGGGGTGAGCGGGGCCCCAGAAGGTGCCCCCAGGTGGTGCTCAGCACCCTTACCCACACAAAAAGTCGCTCCCTGTGTATGGTCCCTGAAAATGTCCCATCTCTTGTGAGACTGACTGAGACCTTTTACGTTTAGTTTTCTCCCTTAACACCTGTATGCTGTCAAGGTGGCCCTTGGCAAAGTGTGGTCCCATAGCACCACCCTGACCGGAAATCCCCAAGTGAGACTTTGTGTGCAAAATGCTTGCTTATTGTAAGTTGAAGGATGAAGGGAGATCATGGACTAGTCCCTTTCACTGAAAGTGGAAAATACTGGCCATCTCAAGGTAGTTCCTGACTGTACAGACCCAAACCAGTGGGTGGAGAGCCAGGCAAGGAAGCTACAGGGACTCGGTCTCTATTTTACCCCCTCCTCTCCCTCCTGGCTCACTCCTCCTTAGACGCCAGCATCACAGCCCTTCTAACGTTAGAACTTCTGGTACAGTGTTCTTAGATGCTACCAGTGATGCTGGTACATTACCGTTCAAGGAAAACTCAGATTTGTTTTTTTTCTCTAACTAGAAAATCTCATTTTTTAGGATCCAAGTCTCTATGGATAGTCCTGAGACATTAATGTTGCACTTCAGAGAAGTATTCTAGATAGGAATCCCACAGTTTCTTTTGTTATTGTTACTGCCACATCCAATTTATTTAAAGACCATTTGTAATGACCAAGGAGCTTTGTCTGGAACCCACAGAGACAGTAACTCATTTCCCCAGCAGGTGGCGCCCTTGACAGGTAGTTTCTGTCCACTTAGGTAGACAGAAGTACTTCTGATCATTCCCCTGCAGCTCCCAGATGCCTGGTTGTTTGAGGACTCTGCAGATAAACTCTGTATGTGGGGTGGGGTGGGGTGGGATGGGAGGTCAGTAATGAGTCGCCACTGGGGAATAACAGCAGCTGCACCAATCTGGCACCTAAAAATGCAAGACAAGGTCTAGCCTCTAAAGCAATCTGCCAGTGAGATCAAAGAGTGAGCTGTCGACTCACAGCTCGAGACCTGGAGACGGGCTAGGACCCCTGTAGCTTGCGCACAGGCCTGGGCGCGGACGTGGCCGCAGTCTCGTCTCCCCGGGTTCTCCGCATTCCACTCACCTCTGATTGTGCTTTCGCCTCCTGCATGAGAGTCAGGACGGTAGATTTTGACCTCACTGAGGACAAAATGGACTGCAATCTTTGCTGGTCCCCCGCTGAGACTAGAAGTTGATCCAAACTAAATAATGCAAATATGTAGAACATTAAAAAAAAAAAAGCAGCTTCTCCATTTTTAAGGACACATTTAACACGACCTCCTTTCAACTATATTCTAGGTATTTTCAGTGGGAACTACTGTGGATTCAGGGATTCCTCCAAGATGTTAGGGGACCACTGTGGTAATTTAATGAAATTCGATGTATTTAAAAAAAATATGCAATGTATAGGCTTAAGTGGAGTGTTTTAAAAATGGCAGAAATTTCCACCCTGGCTGGTGTGGTTCAGTGGATTGAGCGCTGGCCTGTGAACCAAAGGGTCACCAGTTCAATTCCCAGTCAGGGCACATGCCTGGGTTGCAGGCCAGGTCCCCAGTAGGGGGAGTGTGAGAGGCAACCACACATTGATGTTTCTCTCGCTCCTTTCCCCTCTCTCTAAAAATATAATCTTTTTAAAAAAAATGTTAGAAATTTCCTGTTTAACTGCAGTCACCTTCAAAGGCCCAGACCTTCCCTGAGGTGTGGCCTCCCCATCCCCCATCTCTCAGAGCTTCTGCCTGAGCGTCATGTCTCGCAGAAGCCTGTCCTTAGCACACCGTTGTGGCAGACACTTTTCCCTGCAGGCACTTCATTGTTCCAGTAATGACATTAAAAACAACGGGGTGTTGGGGGGTCCTGGGCGGGATGCTTGAGCAGAAAAAGGACGCTTGTGGAATCCATTCAGTGATACCTAAGTAGCTGTAGTTAGCCACACTGTTCCGCTAACTTGTTTTGATCAGTGGGCGGCAGTTACATCAGGCGCTAACATTAGGAAGAACCGGGTGAGGGGTCCATGGAAACGCTCTGCATGTTCTTTGCAATTTTTCTATAAGTCTAAAACTAGTCCATCATCATCATCATAATTTGATTTAAATAAAAGGGGGAAGGGCAGGTACTTACTTAACTGACCAGCTTTTTCCAGAAGGCAGAGCCTGGGTGGTTTCACCCCCGTCGCTGGCTGAGCTGGGGGCTCCCGGCTCACCGGCTTTAGGCCTACTTGCTCCTGGACAGGCCCTGTCCCCAGCCCTCACCGGGCACAGAAGGGTGGTGGACCCATTGAGGCCCCCAGCCGGGGAGCCCAGCGACCTCCTGGGGACAATTTCCAGCTCGGTTTTGAAGAGCACAGCCGTGGGCCCTGCCGAGAAGTCCTCATTGCAGAGCTTGTCAAGGTCGGGCATGCTCAAGGCCCTCAGCTCCTGGAGCTTAGAGCGTGACAGGGGCGAGGGCTGGGCATGGCGCACCGAGGACTTGTTCCTCTTGATGGGGGAGGCAGGTGTCACCGTTGGGGTGGGAATTCCGGAAGGACCAGGTGGTTTCTTCGGGTCAGAATCAGGGCCCTTGTTACTGGCCTCCACCAGGTTCTGCCGGGAGACCATCAGGGTCATGCTGGACGGGGACTTGGTCATCTGGGGAATGAGGCTGCTGGCTTCGCTCTGACTCTCGCTGCAGGAGCTCAGGCTGCGTCTCAGTGACCTCGCGGTTGGGTCGCTGGGGTGGCTGTAGCTCCCGGAAGCCACGCTGCCAGAAGACCGCCTCCCAATGGGAGGCTTGGAGCTCACAGACAAGAAGGAGGAAGCCCCAGACTTGGCCACGGGCCGGTCAGAATTGGCCAGGTTCTCAAAGGACTTGATCCTCTGCTTCACAGAGAAAAATGAGGTAGATTCATGGGGCCAGTTCTGCTCAGAGTAGTAATGTCTCCTGGTGACTTTGATTTTATCGGGGACGAGGCAGCTCGTCTCTGGCACTGAAGGGATATCCCCTTTGTCTGTTGTTGGAAGGTTCCTTGATGTCTCCAGCAGGGGCTTCACACTGTAGATGCCCTGTCCATTGACCAGGCCAAGAGCACCGCCTCGGGACACCTTGGCCTCAAGGAGGACCCCGCTTGTTGCAGGGATCTGGCTGTCCCGATGAGAGCGACCTGGGCTGGGCAGGGAAGGCCCTTCCCGTCCAAAATGGCTCGTGAACTGGGCTGGCATGGAGTAGGTCCTGGTCGCTGGCCTCGGCATGAAATAGGGATGCTCATCCAATGCCGGGCCCGCCAGTGTGCCGTTCTTGGGTGTCCCTGGGGACTCTGACACCTGGCGTGGCTTTCCCGGGGAGGAACCTGCTTTTTTAGCAGGCAGCTGTGGGGAGCAGGAGGTGGCCAGTTTTGCCATGCTGGAAGATCGCTGCATTTCCTGCTCCGCCTGGGAGGCACGTAACGTGAGCGAGGGTGGATGATCTGGGGACGAGTCCACCGACGGGTGACAGAGTCTGATTTCACTCTTCTCCTGACAGTTGCTCTGGGCCAGGAATCCTCCCCGTCTGTCACTTTCGGCTGGCATGTCGCCCCATGCTTTCTTTGGCATTCTCTCAGGAGAAACTTCCACTATTTTCAGCTGGTTTATTCTTTCTGGAGGATCACTAGCAATTGTTTTGCTTCCTTTGTCGCCAGCTACGCTGGGTTGGGCTGCTTCTGGTACCAAACCCGTTTGGCTGGCCGAGAGCTGCTGGCCCTGCCCGGGCAGCGGGAGCTCCCGCGTGTCCACTGCTGCGGACACACTGTTCCGCGATGCTGCGGGGCCTGGCCCTGAGGCTGCCCTGATCTCTGGTCCACACTTAGGCGACCTGGCTGTGGTTGGGCAGCCTCTGTCGGGTTCAGAGTGGACAGCTGCGTGGAACCTACTACCCACACCTTGCTCAGGGAGAGCCTTGGGGGAGATTGGGGGTGAAATGAATGGCCTGATGCTCGTGTCTGACGCTGATGACCTCAATGACCCCAGAGTCGCAGGGGGTGGCTTGCTCTCGAGCTCACACTGGGGAGACTTGAGAGTGGCTGTGGCATTTTTGCTGGGGTCCTCCTGGTTGGCTATGTGGAACCGGGGTGATGCTACCTTAGAAAGCATTTTGTGGGAGGCCTGGGGCGAAACGAGGGATTTCCTGTGGTCCGTCCCACCGGCCTTTGGAGTATTAGGAGCAGGGGCCTCGGAACTGCCTTTGCTTTTGCTCTTGATGCTCAGTCTCCTCAGCTTAGGACCGGACTTGGACTTCTGACAGTTATTTAAAAGGGTTTCCACTGAACTTTTTTTAGGTGCCTCTTTATTTTCAAGATTCAGTTTCAGCGGAGGGGGGCTATTAGGCACTGCAACCCCCTTTCTGTGGCTTGTGCTCGGCACCTGGCTTTTGGAGTCGGGACTTCTGGCCGGCGTTGCCGACGGTTCCTTTTCGGGTTGGCTCTGCAAATGCGTACCTTGGTTCCCTTTATTGATTTCTTTAAACCAGGCCATGATGGGCCTCCTGGAGGTCATTTTTGGTTTCTGCAGCAGGTCATTCGGGTCTTGACTCTCAGAGATGTGCAAGTCTGTTGGAACAGAGTCCCCGTCCTCAGGGGCACCGACAAGAAAGGAGGCCGGATTTTCAGCGGCGTTAACATTTGTTTCTTGTTTTTTATTTGGGCTTTCACCGTCCAGCAAGTCATGTCCCAAACCATTCACTGCGCTCGGCGAGCTGAGAGGGACTGGGTTGTTATGAGGCTGCCTGGCGACTTCAGAGGCCGGGTTGCTTTCCATGGCGGAGCCAGTGCCGGTGGCTTCCATCGTCTCTGCTTCGCACGAGGGTCTGAGGTTCGGTGTCATCCCTAGGTCTGCGCGGGGTTCGCGGCCCGGGGAGTCTCCATCTGGGAGCGCAGACGCCGGGGCAGCGTTTGGGGCTGCAAGGCATGCGGCACCCGGCTGGAGGGCCGCCGTGTTGCACGCACTTGCCGCGGCCTCGCAGGTGGCACCGCGGGTCGGGGGCGCAGCTTTGGCTGCCGGGGCGCGGGGTGCGACCCGGGCAGGTGCGCGTGCCGCCGTCGAGGCGGCGTTCGGGGAACCACTGGTAGAACAAATTTCGATTTGCTCGTCCTCAGACTCCGTGGCCTCTTCCTTGTGAGAAGGCCCCCGAGGACGAGGAGGGGACCAGCCGACCCGGGTGGAAGCTCGTGGGGCTTCCGGGAGCGACTCGGGGTCGGAGGACGAGTCCTCCGCGTCGCCGTACATGGAGGAGAGAGACGGCTCTGTGCTGTCACCCAGGCCTGACAAGGACGTGCTGTCCTCGTGAAAAGGGCTAAAATTCCTCGAGTAGTTGCTCAAAAAGCTTTTGTTCACAGTAAAGTGTTTGTCGGGGTTGATGGAATCCAACACGGAGGGCTGGGAGGCCCACTGCGGGGGCGGCGGCGGGGGCGGGCAGGCGGCCCAGGTCCTCCCCGGGCTCGGGGTCGGGCTCCCGGCGCCCGGCTCCGCGCGGCCAGGGCGCCCCGCTCCGGCGGCTGCGGGAAGCGGGCCTGGCGAGCTGCCCTCTCGACCCGCCCGGTCCCCTTGGACAGGAGACTCAAGTCCTCCTTCCGAAGCACCTGGCTCCTTGATGAGCCTGTCGATGTCAGTCACGGGAGTCTCTCCGCTCTCCCCGGGGCAGCAGGGCCCCGAGTCACCGCCGCGCTGCCCTTGGGCCCTGTCAGCCGGCGGCGCGCAGGTGGGGCTGCCCTGCGCTGCCCTCTGGGGCCCCGTGTCTGTCCCCTGGAGCCGGGCGGACTCCTGGGAGTGGTCAGGTGCGAGCGTCCCTGTCACGTGCAGAGCCTGACCGTGGTCGCCCGGGACTCCTCGTCTCTCCTGGCTCACGAGGCGGCCCGGTGGCAGGACAGCACAGGCCGGGGTCGCTCCCTCGGCCTCGGGTCCTGCTCCCCTGTGCGCACCTGCCTTCCCGGGGGCGTCGGGCCAGCAGGGTTCGAGGGCTGGCTGAGCGGAGCTGAAGTCGGGAGGAGCCGCTGCTGTCTTCCCTGGGGAGGTGCTGCGGTCCCAGGTGAGACTGGCGTGACCTCTGTCCTCAGACTTGGGGACCCTGGATGACACTGGCTCTCGGGGGTCCTCGGGCCGCCGCCCTTGTTCTGTGTCCACTGAGGCCTCGCTGCGGTCAGGGCGTGCGGCCCGCTTCTGCCCTGGGGAAGGGACGAGGTCCGCGGAGCCGTGCAGTCCTGCATTGGGAACGTAACAGAAGGCGCGTTACGGTAGCGGAGGTAAAGGGGGAAAGGTGAGAAAACAGAAACACTCAAGTGAAAAAGAAAAACGGCAAACTTTTTGTCTTTTTCAGAAAGACATTCCACAGCCTGAGTGCAGGCCTTCTTGTCTCTCAAATTACAAAGCGCACCCGCTTAGGAAACGGCGCGCTGCTTCAGACGCTCAACAAGAACTCGGGCGGGCGGCTCTGCCCGGCCCCTTTCTGCGCTCTCGGTCGCGTTTAAGGACGGGGCACACCGGAAGTGCCTCCTGTGGCTGTCCCTCCGCCATGCACTGTGAAGGCAGGAGCCACAGGAGTCAGGCTGCGGCTCTGATTCATTCCTGCTTCGCGTGGCCTCTGCAAAGGCCCCCTGCCTCTCTCGGCTCCAGCACCTGGCAGATCACGGCCGGTCTAGCTCCGCGGCCTGGGGGCTGTGAGCCACCCCGGAAAGTATAAAGCGGTCCCAGTGCCCAACTTAGGGACTCGCTGCCTCGGCCCATGGAACGCCACGGACAGGACGCGAGCCTCCACTGAGCCTTAGCTGTGTCTTCCCCAAGCTCAGAGGAGGGAGAGACCTGAAGGCCAGGTTCCCCCCGGGAAGCTGGGGCAGAGGGCTGGGGACCTGAGAGGCATTCTGGAAGGACGGTTTGACCTGAATGATGAAGAGGGAGAGGAAGAACAACAGAATGGAAACAGGGAAGCAAGCAGCAGCACGAGGCCCTGGCTGGGTAGCTGAGCTGGTTCGAGCCTCGTTCGGATACTCCAAGGATGCAGGTTTGATCCCTGCTCACGGCACACACGAGAATCAACCAACGAATGCATAACTAAGTGGAACAATAAATCAATGTTTCTCTCTCCCTCTCCCCCTCCCCTGCTTTGTCTTTCTCTCTTGCTCTCAAATCAATAATAATAATGATAATAATAAAAGCAGCAGCATGAAATCCCAGTGGTGGAGGAAAAGGTGCTGTATGCCAGGGGCAGTGGGAATAGTCATTCCATGAAGGAGAGCTACCTTGTCCTGGAGCTGCCCTGCCCCAAGGCCCTAACGCTCTGGGGCTAATCTGCCTATGACGTATTACCATAGGGGGAAACCGGCATAAACAAAACATAAGATTTGCTATTTTCTCAGGAACTACAGGCCTGAGGCAGGAGAGAAAAAGTCACCGTGAAAGCTCTGGCTTTGAGAAGTGTGTCTACCCTGTAGGCCTTTTCCTTCCTGAAGCTCCTATGTCACTAAGGACTAATTGCTACAACTTAGCCTTGTGCTAAGAGTTTTTCTTGCACTTGATCCCAGTGAGGAATCCCAGCCCCGTGAGGGTGGTGCTGTGGCCACATGCATTGGAGCAGCAGGGAACTGAGGCACGGAGCGGTTATGCAATGTCCCCAGGGTCACAGGGTTCCTAGCCAGGGGTCACCCCAGGAAGCTGGCTCCACAGCCCACACCACGACCTATACCCCTTGGCCTCTGTGTAGAGAGCACCTGGCAACAACAGGCTGACTCAAGACAGCTGTGGAGACCCTACAAAATTTCACCAGGCCCCTGTGAAATTCAGATCTAAGGTGCACGTCACAAAATGGGTGAGGTGCGCCGGCTGAAAGAAAATGCACGCCCTGTTCGTGGCGTTGGACCTAGGAGTTCAGGCACAATGATCCGGTAAAACTGTTAGATGTGGGCAGCTTTTAAGTATCATGAATCTGTGTAATAGTTTTTCTTCCCTCTTAAAATTCTCCGCATGCAACGATTTTTAGAGGCACTTCTACCCTCCCCTCTAGAAGCATAACAAATGATAAATAATCTTACCCCCCTTGGGTGTTTGTCCTTGGTCTGGTCCAGCTTCGGGCGGGTCCTCGGTGAGGCGGCCAGCACCTGGAGGGGGGCCCTGCCCGGCAGTCAGCTTCCCCGGAGGTTCCTGGCACAATGACAACAGCAAGTCACTGTCTGCAGCTTTCAGGCTGTCTGCATCCCAGGACATCACATATCGAGGAGAGCTGGTTTGGGGAAACCTCAAAAAGCCCTGGACTAGGAGCCACGAGACCAGCCTCTGGGTTTACGTTAACTGGGAACTGCATGCTCTTGACCCTCTCCCTGAGCCTCCGTCCTCTCAACTTTAAAGTGATACAGCGCCTCCTACCCAGCAGGATGGCTCTCAACAGAAAACAAAAATACCAAGTGTTGGTGAGGATGCGAAGAAATTGGAACCTTGTGCACTGTTGGCGGGAATGTCCACTGGCGCAGCCACTGTGGAGCATGGAGGTTCCTCAGAAAAATAAAAATAGAGCTACCGTATGACCCAGCAATCCCACTTCTGGGGTATGCACCCCAAATTTGAAAGCAGCGTCTTGAAGAGATATTCATACACCCATGTTCATAGAAGCATTACGCACAACAGCTAAAATACGGAAGCACCTCATGTCCATCGACAGATGAACGGAGAAGCAAAATGTGGCCTATCCTGAAGACAGAAATTAGCCTTAAAAAAGGAAGGAATTCTGACACATGCTGCAACATGGATGAGCTTTGAGGACATTATGCTAAGTGAAGTAAGCAAGTCATAAAAAAAAAAACAACCCCAAATACTGTGTGATTCTACTGATATGAGGTCCCTAGAATAGTCAAAATTACGGAGACAGAAAGGAGAGTGGAGGTGTCCAGGGGCTGGGGGGAGGGGCATCGGGGAGCTCCTGTTGAGTGGGCAGGTTTCTATTTTGCAAGATGAAGAGCTCTGGAGACGGAGGCGGTGATCCTCGCATGACATCAAGGCTTCAGCTCCTGTCACTGAACTGCACACTTGAAAATGGGTGAGACGGTAACCTGTCAGGTGTGTTTTACCACACACACAAAAGGACGCGGGGGTGAAAAGATTTGCCCTGTCTAAATCATAGGATTTCAAATAAAGGATGATTAAATGAGGTGACAGTTATAAAAACAACATCCGTCATACAAAGGGCTATAGAGACAGAAGGAATTCTTGTCATTATATCGCATTGCGATACCTAAGGGTATAAAAATCAGCCGCTCGGTTTGCCTGTCAGGGAGAGGGCTAATCTGGACAAGTGAAATTGACATTTAATAGTTCAGAATTTCACTTTAGCCACGTGCCACTGACCTTCTATTCCTTTCTTCTAACAGCTACTGTAAAAAAAGTGTTTTGAAAACAAATTTTCTAAAATGTAATATCAGATTTCATTGAACTCTACCCTACGGGTTAGAGTCAGAGAGCGGCCCACAGGTGGCAGCAGAGGGAAGAGGTGAAACGGAGAGAGGGCCTTTCAGCTATCCTTGCCCCCTGCCCCCCCCAAAAAAATCATTCAGTAAAACATCAGTCGTCTGCTGAGGGAAATCTGCACAGGGTTTAACTCAGTTAGGTTTGTTTGCCAGTAAGGTATAATATAAAAACAGGAGAGGAGGGTGGGCGCTAGATAGTGGTTGTACATCACTTGGAATGTCTTCAGTTCCAGTGAACTGTACACTTTAAAATGGTGAATTTTAGGTTCTGTGAATTTCTTCTCAATTTTAAAAAGTATTAAATAAAAACAGGAGACAACCCACTTGCCAAAAGAGAAAGATTTTTTTTTTTTTTTTTTTTTTTTTTTAGCTTCCACTATTTGAGGGTAAATACTTGATGGCAATGCATTCTATTTTCTTTCTTCTGTATAAGTAAAACCAAATTTTGGAACTAAAATGTTTAAGAGAAAAATTCAGCTTCTTTGGAACAAGAGTTTTTAAATACTGTTCAGAGTTCGTACTGAGAATACTAAGTCACAATCGCAAAAACCTTATTTTAATAGATATAAATTATTATGAACAAAAATGCCAGCTTGGCTTTATATAGTTATCCTAAACTTGTCAATGATACTTTTTAAAAGAAAAGGTTTACCCATTAGCTCAACATTACATTTTAAAACACGTGTGCTATTTGGAGGTAATAATTTTTTAGGAGGAGGAAAAAAGATGTGCATTCCTTTTTTTTTCTACAAGGTTAAGAAAACTCCTTCTGTTTAGAACAGTTTTTATGACTTTATCTTTTCTGGGTCTATTTACATGTATGTCTATGTACAACCACTTGAATACACATCTCTATAAATATGGTCTTACAAGTCATCTCAGATTCTTTGCTCAGAAAGAAATCATCTATATTGAAGAGACTGTGAATAACAGTTGTGTTTCTTACTCTCTCCTTGCTAAAATGGAAGGGTTCTGAAGTTTTAAAAAATGAGCAATTTGATAACTCGCGGTCACTCTGACACAGGTGTAACCAGGTAGTAACAGAAACAGTATTAACCTGCATTTAATGCAGTAGCACTGGAAGTTTCTTTCCATGTGATACAAGGGTCTATGTAACTTTTAATTACACATAATCGCTGTAGGAAATTTTAAAAATGAGGATCGCTCAGAACTTGATCAGTAGGAGATAATCCCTGCTGCCCTCTATTTGATGGTCACCCCAGCTCTGTGCGTTGATTGGGGCGTAGACCATCCCTCCTTCACAGCAGGGACAACTGCGGTGCAGGCAGGCTCAGCTACTTCCTCAAAGGTCGCCCCGCCAGTGTGTGGAGACAGTGGGACCAGGCCCCAGGCTCTCCTTCCCCGGCCTTGTGCTGCCCTTCCATTAGCAACCACAGGCCCCGTGTACACGTAAGAGGGTGAGTGTATCTTTTGGCCAAATGATCTGACTCAACACCTGGACGTGTTCCCTTACCGACCTCCTGATACGTTAACGGGCCCCCGAGCAGCCAGTGCACTGAAATGAATGACTTTTTAAAACAGCATTCTGTCATTATCTTTTCTTGCAGGCAGATGACCCTATGCTTTGTAACACACTCCATATTCATTCACGCAATAGCCACTGAGATCCCAAGTAGCTAAGGGAAAATCAGTTACCTTTTCCCCAGTTCCACCTGGTCGAAAACCAGTCACGGTCACTTGCCCTGAAGTGGCCTGGACCTTGGAACCCAGACCACGGAGGTCGTCGGCTCCCTCCGCCAGGCTCACTGCCTCCGAGCCGCTGCGCCTGGCCTCGGCCTCCGGCCTCTTGCAGTGTGGGCTGACCCTGGCCACTGGTTTGTGTCTGGACCCCAGGCCTCCGTTCTTCTGCTGCGGGGAGCTGGCACTCTCCGTGCTCGCCGGACTCTGGGGACTGGCTCTGTATTCCAGTTTGGGGGAACTCCTGGACCCTGACAGTTCCTTCCGCCCTGAGCTGCCAGAGCCACCCCTTGGGGCCTCTGCAGAGGACAGCAGGCTGGCCGCACGGGGAGGAGGGGCCCCTAAGTCCCTTGGGACGCTCTCCTCGAAGTTCGATGAGCTGCCCAGGAGAGGCACTGAGGAGGCCTTGCTGACCAGGGTTTTCGGGGGGTGTTCCTCCTGGCTGTTGACACCCATGACCTTGGAAAAGGCCATTGAGACGTGCCTAGAGTCGTCCTCCGTTCGAGGCCTGCTGGGCCCCGGGAGGGTCCCTGGGAGGGAAACGCAGTCGCCTTCGCCGTCGAGCTCGTCCTCATCGCTGGCGTCATCGGCCTCGTAGCAGCCCACCTTCTTCTGGCGGAGGAGGGGGTTTCGGAGGACCTGCGGGCTCCCAGGGAGACTGGCTTGTCGGGCAACTGTCACCTGCTTGTGGAAGAGCCCAGAGCCCCGCTGGCTTCCTAGACACACAAGGCTGTTGGCCCTGGCTTTTCCTGGTTCCTTGTGAGCTGGTGGGAAAGGAAAGTCCAATGAAATAGTTAGCTGTCTGGCCTGACCTTCTCATTCACCCCTCCCCGAGCGTCTCCGCATTCACAGCTGCCCGGTGGCAGCCTGTGGCCACTGGGTGCCAGGCTTCCACGACAGGGCTTCTTGAGGCTGCACAGAGCACAGTCAGCCTCCCTCTCTCGTTTTCCTGCCAGCCTCCCTTTTTGTGTTTTTATTTTTTACCCGAGCCTCTGGATTGTGGAACTTAAACATGGACGCTGCCTAGAAACAGAAAGGTGTCATTTGTCACCACCCAGGGTGTCTAACACATTGCCGGGGTCCAGCTCAGGTGCTGCTGCTGAGAAACCATCTTCAGGAGGCTGTCCAGGGACCAAACAAGTGCCCCACGCCCAGGCCCCCCTATCACCTGAGGTCCCTTCTTCATCGGCAGGCTTGACCAGCAGACACGTGAGCTACTAGGCTGTGCGGTACAGGGAAGCCTGCGATTATAATCTATGAATAAATTCCACCAGCAAAGGGAAAAAGGGCCCGGGCTGCTCTGCCAACTCTGCATCTTGCCAATAAGTGTGGTGAGAAACTACCTGTGCTTCCACCTGGAAGTGTCCCCCCAGTCCAGAGGAAGTTCATCGGGTGCCCCAAGCAAGAAGCAGGGTGATGATCGCCTGCCTCTTCTAAGGGGCATTTTCTTGTTCACACGTTTGAACTACAGTAAGAGAGGAAACCACGCCAGCAGAAGTCTGAGAAGTCAGTACAGTTCACATCGGATCATTGTCTCATAGAATAGTGAGAAGATAATCAATGAGATTAAATGTCTGGCCCAGCCCGTTTACCGCAGACTTGAGTGGCCAGCCATGAACAGCGGCTGCACTTTCCAAGAATAAACTCTGAATTTAGTCCGTGTAGACAGGCGGCTTCTACTCAACCAGAGGCCTGGCTTCCATTTCTCTTTTCCTGTTATAGGACCATGATGTGTAACCCAGTGTGGCCCGAGTCTGAAAACAGTCACCACTTACTGGAGGTGCTGGGCGGCAGGCTGCCGTCCTCAGAGGTGCTGCAGCCGCTTCCTGTGTGGTCCTCGTCCTCGGAGCCGGCCACCACAAAGTCTGACAAGGGGCCTGGGACGTCGTGGGCAAAGTACTGGGAGAGTTCAGATTCAGAGATCAAGGAGTCCTGTTGAAGAAGACAATGTTGGGTGGCTCAGAAGGCGCATCAGAAGTGGATTATTTTAAACACTAATTACTTCCTATTTTTCCAAGAACACTTTGTTCTAATCCCTGGTCATTTGAAACAGCTGTGACGGTAAACACACCCTTCCATTTACTTTAGGATGGCTCATTAAACATTCAATGAATCAAAAGCCAACGGTGGCTGCCTGAGGACGTTTTTTAAGGACAAAAAAAAATTTTTTTTTTCTTGGCCAAATGTTTGGCAATGATCAGAAAAGCCACAGCAGCCATGTAGCAACTCTCCCAGGAAAAATAGTGGGGAAGAGACAGGAAAACAGAATGAAATTCCAAGCCAGTGGTTCGGCCTATCAATGAAACAAAACACAGGGGAGCTTGAACCCCACACGCTGACCTGCTGGGACGGGGGTGGGGGTGGCAGCCGAGAAGAGCCCACCGGCTCTGTAAGGTTGCGGGGCCCCCAGAACTGGCCAGGGCCCCCTTATTATCGAGCATTTTGAAAACTGGTTTTCAAACAGCAGCTCAGTTCTTTTGTTTTTCTATTCTTTTCCTGGATAAATATTTAAGAAATGAAACACACACTTGTGTATTTGTTCTCAAATCGGCATTGTTGCTATTTCCTGTGTGTGCGGTGGCCAAGTGACTCGTGGACAGGAACACAGGCTAGGCCCACAGTTGGCTTGTGGGCTCTGGGACTCTGTTTGGGAGCCAGCTGGGTGAGGCTGCAGCGCGCCTTGACTCACCTTTTTTGCAAAAGAGGGACTCTTCAAGGGGGTACCTGTTGAGGGAAAAAGTCACCATATTGTCAAAACAATGAAGCTCAAATCCTTATAAATAGGCTCACATCCTTAAATAGAAAAGGAGGAGCCAAGCACATGAAACAGTTTGCCTAGCACTTGATGGACCTGTACACAGGTATCGACATGCATGTTGTCTACCTGGGTCCTGAACCCCCGACCCGTCCCGCCCCACCTCCCAAGATTCTGCTCGTGGTTTAAGGCTTAATTCAGATGCTACCACTTTCATGACGATCCCGGCTGAAAGTAACTTCTTCTGAATTTCAAACATATTTTGTGCTACTCACACACTAATTCCCATACATGCAGTATAACTGAATTGTAAGTGGGTGCATCTCCTCTCACTCCCTCAACTCTTTTGCTACGTACAGGGCTGGAACACTTGCTGGTCTGACCCCAGAGCGCTCAGCCTGGCACCTTCGTTACAGGATGAATGAACAAAGGGACAGCACCCAAGAGACTCCGACAGAACTGGGGAGAATGCTGAGTATCTTTTAGATTTTGGTTAAGGAAGAAAAGACTCAGCATTGAGACTTTAAATTCTATGCCATGAACAAAAATATCTTGGGCATGAGGACTGTGCTTAACAGAATCTTTTATAAATGGTCGGGGGGTCGTGCTGGGATTAGCAGGGTGGCTTTCAGGCAGGTCAGGAGAACGAGCTGGTTGCAGAAAGAGCTCATTCTGGCTGTGCCATCGTTTTAAATGTATTAATTATGGATGCAAATGATCAGGTATTTCATGGTTTCCAAGATTTCCTTTTCCTCTGAGAACCACGAAGTCCTGTCTCGGTTCCCTTTCCTCCTGACAACAATCTTAACGTCAGGAATATCTCAAGGGCAGATGTGCTGCCAAGGCCGTTTAGGGTTCCACTCTATAGGGAAGGTGACTTGTAAAACTCGAGGCAAAGCTTCCTATTTTAAGTTCATATGAAATTCTTACGATCTCAGTCCTCCTCTGCCTGAGCTGTTCCATGTAAGAGGGGAAAAGTATGATTTCTGCAGCCTCTAGCACCTTTCTTAAGTTGACACTTTTAATTTGTGTAAAAGAAACCCCAGGTTTTGGGATGGATGATAGACTCTGCATCTAACAACTGATACACCATACAACTGATATTTTGGTATCTCTTCCCGTTCACCTAGAACATTTCAAATACACTGTACCAAAAACACATGAAATGCTGCTAACTCACTTTTGCAAATTATCTTCCAGCAGTATAAGAAGCATGAATCATTAGAACTTTCATACGGCAGATGAAATAACTGCAGAAATCAAAAGTAGCAGCTAAGAGAAAGCAGAGAATCTCCTTGACAGCTACTTCTGCCCAAAATGATAATCACAGAGAACACAGTAATACTGCGTGGGGGTGCCCCGGGGGGAACTCCTCGGGACACTGCTGAACGTTGAATGAAAATGTGCAATTACAGTACCTGAGCCAGGAGAGGAACCAGCCTCTCTGCTCTCCTGGTAAGTGCTGCGCGCTATCACTTCATCCATTTCCTGCTCAGAAACCTGAGTTTCAGCAGAAAGCACAAATTAGATCTTATTTATTTATTTATTATTTTCCCCCAACAAAAAGTAGCTAGAAGCAGAGGCAGGAGCTGGGCACAGACACGGAGGGAAACCAGAGGAATAAGGATTCTGAGCAGCCTCTGAGGTGGCCTCTCCGGGCGCGTGAGGGAGAACTGGCTTTACCAACTGCTCCAACCAGATATTTGAAACAAGACCTTTGCTTGGCTCCCACGTTCATTAGGCAAAGCAATCAAGTGCGACGGCTGATACCTGCCTCTCCCTGAAACACTCCTCTTTTTTCCTAAACTTTATTTAAACAATGTTGAACTTACATACTTGCAAGACTAGCCTACAAACAGTGGACTCCTCGCCTCGAGCCACCGTTCGTTGGCAACCCGCCACGTTTCCATTCATGCTCTGTCCTGACACACCCCATGCTGTAGCTTTTCACTAAACTACTTGTAAGTTGGTCACAGACGTCGTGACCCTTCACCCGTACATTTTTTCACGTAGCCCCCTAAAAACAAAGGACTTCTCTTAAATAACCCTGGTACTATGATCAAATTCAGGAGATTTGATGTCGACATGGACAGCTGTCTACTATACATATATTTCATGTTCCATTTTAGCCAACTGTCCTAATGCCCTGCTTCAGAAACACCGTTCCAAGCGCGTCTTGGGAGCAGTGCCCAGAAGGCGTGATGCCGGCCGGTGGCGAGGCGAGGTTCTCCTCGAGGATGCAAACCAACGCGCAGATTCTTTCACCAGCTACATCTTGCCAGGGGAAAAATGTCATGTGACCTAAATGCTGTGCACAGTGATCCAACATTGACATGCTGTGCAAGCCCCTCACCTTGTGGACGTCTGTGGGCTGTCACCGACCCATGTTTTTGCAGAGCAATAGCTTTACAGAATCTTTTCCCCTTTTTCTGGTAATCCAGAATTTGATTCTGGAGCTAGCAGCTGTCTCTTTGGTCTCCTTTAAGACAAGGTGATTCCAAGCCTTCCTCTGTCTTTCATGATACTGATTTTGGAGGACAGGAGGCCAGCCCGAACTGTCAAAGGATTTGTTTAATAGTTTCTTTATGCTTAGATGTAGGTTTTGCATTTTTTTGGCAGAAAAACGACAAACATCATTTCCTTCTCAGCACACCCCAGGGGCACTCCGGGTCGGTGTGTTTTGTAATTAGTGATGACTCTGATCCCTTAATTAGGGTGGAGTTCACCCTATTTCTCCCCTGGGTTTTTTTTCTTTTTCTTTTTGTCATTAATGGGTAATCTATGAGGAGACAGTTTGAGACTATGCCAATATTATTTTCACTCAATGGCTTATGATCATTGATAATTCTTTTTTCCCCTTTATTTTTATCGTTGACACTAATACAGATGTCTCCATTTTTGCATGAATCAATTATTATGATGTTTTCAAAGTAGTGATTTTTTAACTCTTCCCTTTTAAAAAAATTTTATTTATTTATTTATTTTTAGAGAAAGAGGAAGGGAGGGAGAAAGAGAGGGAGAGAAACATCACTGTGTGGTTGCCTCTCGTGCACCCCCAACTGGGGACCTGGCCCACAACCCAGGCTTGTGCCCTGACTGGGAATCGAACCAGCGACCGACCCGCTTGTTCACAGGCCGGCACTCAGTCCACTGAGCCACACCAGCCATGATTTCCTTCTATATTTACTGGTACCCCAGTAAGTTCAAAGATTTTTTTCTGCCCATCCGTTGTTATCCAAACTGTCATAATTCAGGGGAAGTTTTTTTAAAAAAGCCTGAAACATGCTAAACTATGAGATGTTTTAAAAAGACAATTATGAAACTTATAGTTTCTTTTTTAAAGATAAGAATATTTAAAACTTAGAATGATAATTTTTTTATAGTAACATTTATTATAAATAATATTTGGATAAGCATAGCAATTTGTCTTAAGTAAATAAATATTTCTATATAGGACTCAGCATTACATTTTACCATAATCACATCATGGCCTTTATGTAATACTTTCTAGTAGGTTTTACAGGAAACAAAATGTACACAGACATGCACACAGGCCTATACACTTACACCCACCGTCCCCCCACCCCCACCCTCCATAAAGCAAAGGGTAACTTTGTAAAACAAGCCAAGGGAGACTATCAGCTAAAACAGTAGTTGCAACTTTTTGTTGCTATTAGACTTTCAATATCTGCAACTGCTCTTCTGAGTTGGGGTTTGAAACAAGTGAAAGATTTCTGGATAATTCCAATTGTGCTGAAAGTCCCAGCACCAATTAAAATGGATCTCTCTTCCTTCCTCTAATTAACATAAGCTGGATGCGGCTGCCTGAGCAGGTCCGCTCTCGGCTAGTCTAGACCCCGAGGGTCTGACTACCCAACGCGGGCGGCTGCTGCTCCCGTCGTTATGAGAAACAGAAGAAAAGAAAATCCTTGTGGTATTTCTCTTGGAACAACATGAAAACAAGGAAGCACATACATTCAGTATCAAAATGTACTATTGGCATGAAATGCTAGGCTAAGTGGTACAAAAATACATTAAACATAAAATGGAATCCTGACCCAAAGAAAAATACAGTATGATGTTACAACTAAGAACACCATGTTTACCTAGGAAGAAACGTGAAGTCCAGCCAAACAATTACGGGAATTCGGTTTTGCTGGACATTATGCCCAGCCCCATCCTGACGACCATTCCATTACGGCTGCAAACACGGATCACCTGTATGTCCAGTGGATCACAGACCATAGTCCATCAGGATTATGCTTTGCCCTGAAATGCCTTGTGTTTTTGTTCGACTGTATTAGCAAATTAGGCAGATGCTTCTGGGCTGAGAGGAAGTGAACTCTGAACAAATCATGACCTGAGTTAAGGTGGAATGGATTTTGAAGTCAGACATGCCTTGAAGCTGTTAGACTGCAAACCACCGAGATCTTGACTCTCTATAATGCTGTTGAGGGACGTGCTCGGTCAGCCACAGCCTAATGGAGTGCTCCCCAAGGCGATGGGAGGGATGGCCGTGTGGCTGGTGGAACCCATGAGAGGACCCCGGAGGAAGGAGCTAAGGCTGTCCTGGCTGTCACAATGAGGCAAAGCAGTGTTGAAAGTGACCCAAAGAGAGTCCTGGGGAGAGCTGGAGACAGGGAGCAGCAGATTCTAAGGGAGAGTGTCAGGACTGCGGAACAGAATGGGGAAAGAGGGGATGTGACAAGCAGAGAATGTGGAGAAAGGTAGAAGCAGGACTTGTTTTATATTACTGATAGCCAAGAAGTTTTCAGGTAAGAGGGATTTGAGATGGCACACAGACAAGAGAAAAAAAATCTGGGGAAAAAAAAGCAGCGGCGTTGACTCTGAATCAGTGTAATGACAGTCTCTGTCCGAGCACTGTGGGTGAAGTTGCCTTCCCCGGTGAAGGCATGGAGTCCCAGCCTAATGGCGCTTCCTGGGACGGGGGAGAACCAGGAACCACGGCCGCACGGAGACATTAAAAAAATGATGTCATAAAGTTAACACACTAAAGAAATCTCAGACATGTCCTGGTGGTTGTGGCTCATTGGACTGAGTGCTGGTTTGCAAACCAAAGGTCGCCAGTTCGATTCCCAGTCAGGGCACAGGCCTGGGTTGTGGGCCAGGTGCCGAGTAGGGGACGAGCGAGAGGCAACCACACATTGATGTTTCTCTCCCTCTCTTTCTCCCTCCTTTCCCCTCTGTCTAAAAATAAATTAAAAAAAGAAAAAGAAAAAAGAAATCTCAGACATGGTGCATAGGAAGGAGGGCCCACAACGTCTTTTGGCACTGACATCTGATTCTTAAAATGGCACACAAGCCACCATCAAGCTCAGCAGCCTGGGACTGTTTAGGGTATAATCAAAGAAAACTACAAATAATGCAAGGGTGGCCAGATGACAGGCATGGAAAGAACTAATGTTCTTAATGAACATGGTGAGATGTTAAAAGATTGAATTTTGTAAAATTCAACCCAATTACAATGTTAGAAGCTAATTTAAAAGATTTTTACACTGAGCACCCAATACAACAAAGCGCTCCCTTCAGCAGTATGCATTCTAAAGTTGGAGCGGTACAGAGAAGATTAGCCTGGATGACACGCAAGCCTGTGAACTGTTCCTTATTTTTAAAAAAATCAGTGTTCAAAGAGGGTTAAAACAGTAGAGTTGAGTTGAATTTGCTGAAGCATTTTGTGATTAGCTTAAAAAAATTAAAAGCAATTGCACAAGTGTCGAAGAGATAACCACATAACAGCAGGGGTTACGATAATCCGTAAGTTCCACACAGGTTCGAAGTGTGGATATTGATGCTCAAAAAGAAAAAGTATCAGTGGACTCCCAAGCCTCATTGCGGAAGTATTCTGGTCCGGTCAGAAAAGGCCTGGCAAATCATCTGGTCTCAGGCTCTCAGATGGTCCAGGCGCAGAAACCACAAACAGGTTCGACATCTCACCAGAGGTCACACGGCCAGCTGGGGGTTACCCAGAGCCCAGCACTCCTAGCTTCTACTAAATTTTAAATTCCCATTGTCAAAACTGACTAATAAAATTTTCTAAGAACGCGAGGACAAAGGAGCCAAGTCCTTCCTTTCCCTTGTGTATCTGTCACCTCGGCCATTGTGTGGCCTCAGGCTGATTCCCACCCCTAGCTGAGCGCACTGTCTCTCTGCAGAGTGTGTGTCGACATTGCAGTACATGAGCCACTGCTACTGGACAAATAGCCAAGCCATCTTCCCACACCCAGAAACAGTACGAAACACCTCACCTTTGGATTAGGGTGCCGGCCGATGACAAGGCGAACGGGTCCTGGGGGGCATTTGCTCAAGATGGCGTGGACTTTGCTTAAAGCAGCATGGCGGACGTTGACTGAGTTCACTTCCAGGATTTGATCTCCGCGGCTAGGGAGGCAACATAATCAACACCACGCTAACAGTTAGCTTTTTACAAGGTTTCCTTCTGGGAGAGGCCCCTAACAAGGAATCTTTACTGAATACCTTAAAGAAGCCCATGATAGCCTTTTCATCTTGGCACACATGTAACAGAGCAACACATTCATATAAACACATGAGATGGGAAATTGGCAAAGGCCATTATGTGTAGCTACCCACACTCTCAGAAGTAGTCAAGTTAAATGCAATGGATGTAAGGACAACAACGCAGGCCGCCATTGCTTGAGCACATAGTGCATGCCAGGCACCATGCGAAGCAATTCACAGAACGATGTTTGAAGAGGTATTATTATTCCCGTCATGTAGAGAAGACCACAGGCTCACAGATGTCATCCAGATGTCACACACTGTGGAACTCAGGTCTGTCTACCTCTTGATCATCACGTGATAGCCCCTCGACCACCAGACCACCATCGGTTTCTTTTTCCCTACCATCTTGAAATGATTATTGTAATATAACTTAAGGAGGAAATATCTGAAGCTCAAAGGTTACCCAAGAATTTGTAAAAACGTTTCAAATTTGAACAAATGAGAAATTGAGGACAAGATGCCCATTTCTGACTTGAAATTATAGGGAGAGAACTCAGTACAAGAGAACAAAGCCTCTTTATATGGGGTTTGAAGAATGTTCATTTGGCAGGCTCCAGGCATATGGAACCATTCAAGAAAGAAACATCATCTTGGGATGTCATTAAAGGATTTTTTTTCCTTGGGTTCTCAAAGTATATTTTCTTTAATGTACTTTGGATGATTTGCTAAAATTTTTTTTGGTATGGAAATTCACTCTGATGATTAACTAAAAACATAATATAATCTATTAACAGGGCCCCAAAATGGCAACCTCAAGGAATGTCATTTTGACAATTCCTCAACCACTCAAGGACTTAGAAACTTATGGGGGAGAAAGGTGATACTGTTTGCTCAGAGTGCTTTGTGCAATACGCACACATTCCTGTGAAGTTTGGGTGGGCACAGGCCCATCGCAATGGCTATACAACAGAATACCTAGGCATGCCTTGTATAAACAGAATACCTGTCCTGCAACCCGGCTAGCTGCCTGAGGTCAGACACGCAGTGACTTCAGATAGTAGGCATCTAGACCTCACCATCACCACCCAGGAAGGAATGAAACCACAGAAAAGGTTTAAGAGATTATACTTAATGAAAAAGGCCTCCCATTCCAGGGTATAATTTGAAGACTCTCTTGTATCCAGTGATCCCGAACCATTATGAACCATTCCCAGCATCTCAAATGAATTGTACATAACTGAACATAAAAGTGAAAGAAAATATTCAGATAATCATTGTTATCTAAGAGTTGTATTTTGTCGTTTCTGAAACTGAACTTCTGTGCCCAAATAGCATAAAATAGGAAAAGCCAAGATCCAGAGTTCTCTAATTCAACCAAATTTCACTTAGAATTGCTTGTCATCTTTGGAGATGCTATTAATTATAATCCTGGCTATATTTCTGCAAATAATAGAAAGATTTAGAATCCCACAAAGGGATGTAATAGGGCAGGCATCTTACATGTGTATGTATTCAGATATTCCCGAACATGCCAGAACCCTGCACTGTCAGGCTGACAACAAACCTCAGATTGCTCTCCATCTTGGCCACGGATCCCGGGGCGAGGCTGTGGATGTAGATGCCCGGGGGGCTGTTTTCCAGAGCCAGGCAGCAGGCCCCAATGCCTAGTCCAACTCTGGGCTCTGTGAGGGCAGTATTCAGAGAAAACAAATGACACCAAGAAAGAAGCGTGAGTGATCTGAAACTGCATGAGTGTATATTCAAACCAATAGCCATTTATTTTTTGACCAGACTCAGAATGTAAGCCCTGCTTTTCTTTGTGCACATTGCCATATGCTGTTACTGAAATGAGCCCACGGCAGAACCGTGGCTGACTCTGTGCTGTGGCTTATTCAATGGTCTACTCTGCTCAGTCTAAAGAGCCCCGCAAATCTATTTTTTTGGAAATAGGCAGAGTTGAAGTACTCTATTTCATTCTGAGTATACAACTTCAGGTTTTCTTTTATTTCTCGTTTTAGCACCTAATCTCTTGATGATTTAATTGCTCGTCATATTTCTACAGTAGGTGGGCAGGGAAAGAAAACAAACATGAAAAGCAGTAAGATTTGGTGATCACTCATGACTTAGTTACTGGTGTTAGTTGTATTTTTAACTGTAATCTTTGTTCTTTGAAATTTTATATTAGTCCCAAAATTAAGCTGGTTAGTGGTTTTTGTAAACATGAGTGTCTGATAGACAGTGATTTCACTGGGGGAGCCTGTAGGCTGCTGGTAACTCCTCTTCTCTTTGGTATGATGCCTAAAATCTCTGATATTGATCCACTGTCCATTTAGAGAATAACCCATGTTGCTGGGAGCTGAGTGTTCCAAAGGAACAAGTCATAGAAAAAAATATAAAAAGTTAACCTAAGAACAGAGAACACATATGTGAGGGCCCGCAATGAAAGTGAGGAATAGCTGGTATCACCTTTGTTGAGCGTTACTTCCATGACAATTCTGTCCTTGGGCCCAGGGGCCTTCCGACCCAGCGATAAAGAGCTGCTTTCATCGGAGCCTACAGCTGGGGTTCCCCCACTGGCATTGAAGTTTGGGGAGCTGGATCTGCTCATGTGCGTGGGTGTCGAGCAGGGCGTGAGGCTTGGACTCAGTAATTTTGTGCGTACCGTTAACACAAACAATCCACTCCGGATTTGCTGAGAAAACGAAAAGAAAGTAGGGCTAAAACATTCACACTGTCCCCATTGCAAAGGGTGGAAAAAAACCAAACCAAAACCAAAACCAAAACCAAAACCAAAACCAAAAACCCAATCCAGAAGGAAATTAAGAAAAACATAGGAAGATAAAGATCAATAAGAGTGTCATTACCTTAAAGGTATGAATGGCTTCTTGAAACGTCAAGCCCTTTATTGGTATTCCATTTACATCTAGGATTTCATCCCCTAGTGAGCAAGGAGGAGAATTACATTAACGTCCAGCTTTAATTTACGGGAATCTAACTGCTCAGTCAGTACAAGAATAGGATACCACATGGTCCCTGATTTACAGCTCTATAAAATGAATTTTATTGTTTCAATCCACTTTCCTTAGTGTAGGTCCCAGGAATGTCACAAAAAGGAACAATTAATGACAATGCATACTCTTTGGCAGTAACTCTGTATTTCCATCTTTAATTAAAACAACTATGGGAAGCATCATGGCCTTATTCTTTAGCCAGTGCCAAGTTTAATAACAGATGTCCTATGTTTAGAGATCAAACTGCAAAAAACTGAGTCCCAAGTCTTTCCTTATGGTCTTTGTTTAACAATTCAAATCCACTGGCAATGAAGCATGAACACACACAACATGTGAGAAGCCACTCCTATCTTTGCAGAAAGACAAGCTCCTTGAGCCCAGAGAAGCATCACAGGGCTGGGAAAATGGTTTCAATAATAGAGACCAAAAGCTTGTGAGATATTATTTAGGAATGGCAGGCCCCCCCCCAACCCCTCGGCCCCCACCTTCTAGATGCCTGGCCTTGCTGGTGCTGGTCCAGGTTCTCGGTCATTAAGCTGCTAAGTCATTACACGCTTCTATGTAGGAAATTATTGGAGGCTAACGTCAGCTTGCACACACATCCTCTCTCTTTCTCCCTCCCCCACCTCATCCCGGACTCATCTTCAAGCCCAAGGAGGTATAGTTAGGTCATTTTTCAAGTTGTTGATAATGTCTGCTGGGAAGAGGAAAGAACTTGGACATCCTGTTGACTTATGAGAGTTTGTTTCTAGTTTGTATTCTTGTAACATGGTCTGTTTTTTGAAATAACAGTTCATCAAAAACACTACAAAGGGGCCCCCGAGAGGAGAACAGATGGACCCTGCACAGCAGTGCGGGGCAGAAGAGGGGCTTCCCTTACCTATAACAGAGTGCGAAGCAGAGGAGGACCCCAGTGCCCTCCCCCTGGATGGCTGATCCCAGGGGAGCGCTGCGCATTTGGTGAAAGGAAGCCTGTACTGGAGTTTAAAGATGTAGCAGCTCCCCACGCATTTGTTCTGTGCTTTCTCTTTAATGCAATTACAGAAGTTGTAAAATAAGTGAAAGAATCTGTTTAAAAATCACCTGGCATAACTGCTTACTCAATTAGGTGAGGCTTTGGGTTTGTTTCCACATGGGAAAAGGATGGAAACATTAAAATGATTGCTCATGCTCCAAAAAATCTTTATACAAGATTCTAAGAAGACAGACCATTCAACAGGTTGACAATCCATTTCAATGACTTGTCGTCATTGTAAATGAATACAGATGAAAAAAAAAAGTATTAGGAAGCTTCAAGTGCTATTAACCTTTCCTAACTATTGATTTTCCCCTCCACTTTGCTCCATTCCACCCGCAGTGCAGGATGAATTTCAATCAAGCGAACACATGGCACATCCATTATAAAAATGCTCTGCTGTGAGAAGTTTACATTGTTCTCTCCGTAGACAAAAACACCACCTGGGAGTCACCCCTTCCTCTAAGAGAGAGAAATAAATATTCTGCCATCAAAATATTAAGCCTGCTCACGAGTCAGCTTTAGCAGACAGGCTGCTGGGGTCATTCTGCCTGAAAAAGGGGACTCCAATTCACTCCAGCACTAAAAAAAACACACACACCAAAAACCAAAAACACAAACCAGTTTAACTCAGCAGGACTTCTACTTCGGTCCAACTGTAATGAAGAGTCACAGCCTCTCTGAAGGTAACTAGAAATATTGCGATCAAATCCTTTCATGAAGAAAGCGTATCAATAAAAAGGGGAACATCAGAATTCATGAATAAGTTCTGGGGATCTAAGGTAAAGCATGAGGACGACGGTTAACAATGCTATTTATGTTCTTGAAGACGGTTAATAGAGTAGAATTTAAATGTTCCCTGCAGACACACATGGCACAGGTGATGTGAGCTGACGGAGGGGCTGACGAACCTGACTGCGGTAAGCACGTCGCAGTATATAAGGGTGTCAACTCATCATGTTGTACACCTTAAACGTACACCATGCTGCCTATCAATCGCAGTGCATAAAGCAGGGCAGGGGTCGGGAGTGGGAGCCCTTGTTTGGTACGTTTATTTGTGGCAAAATGGAAGGTGCTATGGAGAATGTAAAAGGTTTTTCACGTATCCAGCCCTGAGGCAAGGAGGGGACCACAAATCCTCAGGATTTTTCAAGGCAAGGAGCCCGATGATGGACCAAGGCCATAAGGTAGGCACTGGAAGGCCCAAATAAAAAGCGGCAAGCCATTTTTCACGTTACCGCATTTAATCCTCACAACAGCTCTTCAAGGTTGGTATTAACACCCCAAGTTCCTAACCGAGGAAAGTGAGTCTCAGGTTACAACCGCCCGAGGCCATGATGTGAGAAGTGCTGGAATCACAGCTCACCCCCGCTGAGGACCTACCTTCTTTAAGTCTTCCGTCCTCCGCAGCTGACCCATTGGGGAAGATGGTCTTCACAAAAATCCCCATCTGTCCTCGGATGCAGTCTCGACCGCCAGCAATGCTAAAGCCAAGGCCCTGCACCCAAAGCAGACGGGGGTCCAGGCTGTCACTGCGGCACTTCGCCGGGGCTCCCCCCCATTCCGGCTTCCCGTCGAGGGCATCCTGCCCAGCCCAGCGCTGGGCTGAGGCGTCCTCCCCAGTCGTGCTCGTGGTTACGCTAACTAGCGGTAGATTCAAGTTTGCGTTTCCTTCTTCTCCCCCTGCCCCTGCCCCGCCATAGCTATTTGCATTGTGCTGGCTGTGCAGCCCGTTGGAGGGAGAAAGTGTTAGGATGAAACATGTAAAGTTGCCAGTATTTGACGACCTTTGCTCTCCCCAAATGGCAATTTCACATGGATCAACTAATAGTTCACGAGAGTCATTTCATACTGTGCAGGTGCCATATTTGTTTTATTCTTTTGTTTCAGTCTTTCCATTTTGTGTAACATCAAGCGAACATTTTGATACTTGTATAACGATCCAATTACATGTACTATTCTCTTTATGATAATATCAGTATCATGAAACTCATTCAAAAGGTTAACTGGGAGTATTCCCCGAAGCCGCGGGGTCTGCTTTTCTCTTAATCGTGGTGAAAGTCGGGGCACTCACCTCGCCAGTAATTTCGCCCTAACAGCCGGGGCCGGGGACCCCTCAGGCCCTAAGGGCGGGAGGGTGTGCCCATCGTGCCCAGAGGCCCCCAGGAAAGGGCGCCCGGGGCCACTCAAATACACGCAGAGGCCACAGCATCTATTCCTCTCTAAACGTTTTACTTTCTATTTCATATAAAAACAGCAATAAACAGCCACCATTCCAAAAATACACGCTAACATTCACCGGGAGGGCAAAACAGCAGGCGGAAGAGCGCGCACCTTGCCTTTCTCTTTGTACAGCCCGATGATGGAGATGACCGACGGCCGGATGAGCCTCCAGGGGGACTCCACCTGCGTGGTGCTCAGCGAGCGGGTGGACTTCTTCACGATGTGGTAGTCCTGCAAGTGAGCAGACCGCCCGGTCAGACAGAGCCTCGCTCGCCCTTCTGGGGCCTCTGGCATGAAAACACATTCGGATTCGGAAAACCTCGGTCGTTTTTTGGGTTAGACGGCCATCTCTCTCTGGGCCAGCAGCTTCAAGAGCATTATTACAAATAGCATGGGAGGCACAGCCCCTCCTGCACTAAATTTCCACGCCTTCTTTCTCCACAGAAAGAACGGCTTGGAGGCCACAGACGTCTGGTATTTCTTTCAACGGCACGCCACGGCTCCCGCGTCCTGCCCTCCGGAACGGAGTCAGGGACCAGAGACCCAGCGGTCGCAGAGATGTCGATGACCACCAGGGCTGGGCTCTCCCTTGGAAGGCGCCCTCTGCCCCCGCCCCACGGTCGCGATCGTGGCTGGAGAGCATTCGCTGTTTTAAGCTTACTTCACTCACTCAAAACCTTAAGCCTCTGTTTCTTGTAAAACCCAAATGCAAATGCAGGTATGACTGTTAATCTGTATAAAACATCCCACTGAGAAACTGCAGCCGCTCCAGTTCTAATCCCTCACGCTTGGACAATAAAATGTCTTCCCATGGGCCATGCTTTCCCTTCCCGGCACAGAGCAGAGCAAACCTTCATCTCTTTTTTCTGTCCATCACCCCGATATACACATGTGTAAGCAGGGCACACTATTTATAACATAAACAAGGGATTACAGGAATCTATTGCGAAAGCATTCCTACAGTCTAGCTCCTTGTTATTTTTCTTCTTAGAATAAGTTTCTTAAATGACAGATTTTCCAGTATTAGCAAAAAAAAAAAAAAAAAAAAAATCACTTCATATTTAGTATGAGGAAAGAGCCATCAGAAATAGTTTTTATCCTTAATGGGTGTATTTTACTTTCAAAGGTAGAAACAAGATATCTGCTAATGATATTTTTGTATTCCTGGCAGCTTAGAACAATTGTATTTTGCAGTTTTACAAAACTTCTGCCAGCTATGTTGGCCTCCCAGACTCTGATTCAATTAGAAAAAAAAAAAAAAAAGATGCTGGCTCTGCAAAGTTACTGGCCTTTTACTGAAACCCCATGGAAATGGCCATACAGTGCCCATGCGTTTACAGCCGCTGACTAGAGGGGCCCACGTGTGGACTCCAAAGGGAACTCTCTCTGACCACCCATCTCCAGCAGCCCCTCACTCCGCCTTCGCTTGGGGACCACAGGCCTGTCTGCTTCACTCTTCTCTCTAGCAGTTTCAGGGGGGCCCACTGAACTTTCTAGACCTGTGCTATCCAAGGTGGTAGCCACTAGCCACCTGTGGCTGTCTGTATTTAAATTAAGAGGAATTAAAATTAAAAACACGGCCCTCAGTCTCACTAGTCATTTTTCAATAGACACATGTGGCTACTATTTTGGGCAGTACAGATACAAAACATTTCCATCACTGCAGAAGTTTTAATGGATAGCTCTCTTCTATTTTATTTTTTTATCCTTAACCAGGGACATGTTTATTGACTTTAGAGAGAGGAGAAAGGGACAGAAACATTAATGTGAGAGAGAAACATTGACTGGTTGCCTCCCGCACACGCCCCGACCAGGGATTCCACCTGCAACCCAGGCTTGTGCCCTGACTGGGAATCAAACCTGTGACCTCTCGGTTTACGGGATGACGCCCAACCCACTGAGCCACACTTGCCAGGGTGGATAGCTCTATTCTAGACAATCCTTTTTAGTGAAGGAAGAGAGAATAAGAACAAAGGAAGGAGAATCTTGGGAGAAAAAGAAAAGGGTAGAAAATAAGAAGAGAAGACCAAAGAAAGGGCAATTTAAAGAGACAAAAAAACCATCTTTCCTGTAGTATCTTTACTAGCCTGTGCTTCCTAGTTCCCAGGAGCCTGGTTGGAACTAGGTATTTACAGGCTATAAATACAGCCGGTTCCCTCAGCAGGTCACCACCTCAGCACTGGACATCCTTGCCCGCAACGGCTGTCAGCCCTCTCCCATCCTCCACACTAACTGCAGTGCCTGACAGCGTGGCTCTCCTAAGCTTTCTGATCTCTCCCTTGGTTGGTCCGACTGCATCATTCTGAGCAGGTCACAGGCTTGTCTCCAGTCTGGAGGTGTTTTTACCCGGTCTCAAGCATGTGTTTTTGCTCTGTTTTCTCTTGATGCCCCAACTCAAGGTGCCTTTGGGCGAACTGAACACACAATAACCCGATCAGCAATGGCCTTGGAATTGTGGGCACTTTTCATGCAAAGCTTCCTTCCCAGTGATTCTGGCACAGCACTTTGAGCAAAACAGTTCATCTCGTTGAGATTCAGTTGTTCTATATGTGAAATGATGACACCACATTTAAAGTAAGGGCCTGACCCAGGTGACCTAACCGGGTCCTTTCGAGCTCTACGATCTATGTGTCCCCCAGCACTTCGGGTGTCATTACCGCCTCGCCCTCTTCTCCTCCGCCTCTGCCTCATCACAGGCCTGGAGCGAGATGCCAGTGGTTCCTCTTGAGCCCCCTGGCTGATGGGCCAGGACCTGAGAACCTTCCTCAAGTTCGCCAGAGACTGAGCCTGCCTCCAATGCGGTCATGAGACACCCACCCAGTTTGAACTGGGTTCAGGATGATGTAATTGAAGAGGAGTCCCCATTTGGAGTTATGGAGCCCCAAGCACTTATGGGGACGGGCTCTGGGATATTAACATCACCACCCACTTCACCCCTCTCTGCAGCCCCGTCTGATTCCTGTGTAACATAAGGATCCCAGGTACAGCATAGGTAACACGCCACAACACACTCCCTTCCTTCTCTCACGCAACCCAGCATCGACCCACCCAGTTGTTAGCCTGACACCTGATGTGCCCACTCAACAAGTAACGGTGGTTCCCCCCAGACCGTGCGGCGCCACAGTCTCCCAGCAGCTGAAGGCAGCTCTCGGTGCCAAACCACGCAGTAGGAAGGGGGTCAAGACATCAAGATCCAACAGGGGATTATTTTTCTCTATTGTTTTCAAATATTGGGCTGACTTCCTTCTAGCCTCCCCAGAGAGACCTCACTCTTTGTATTATATTTCTAGTCCCAGATACTCCTGGCCCACACGGACGTGCAGGTGTTCAGAACCCAGAAGCTCTTGGTGGTCTTTGGAAGAATAAAAGAAAGCCTAGAGACCCAGGGGTGGAAGCATGCTCTTTCCTCCCCGACCGGTCGGCTGTGACTGCGTGAGAAAGCAAGCAGCTCCATGGCACTGCCTACCTGTGCTGTGCTCGAAGACTCCAGCAGCTGGGGAAGAGAGTGCTTCCGGCCATCTCGGGACACCTCCAACATCCTGGCCCGGGGGTCCCCATTTTGCACCATCAGCTCGTTATACTCTTCAACAGATTCTAGACGGTGTACGCCCCCTTGAAAATACATGGGAAAAAGACATGGCTTGATATGGGACAAACAGAAGCTTAAGAGCATACACAGGGACAAACCTGTGGTATTTATATGCACAGTCATGGTCTGCAGAAGGCCTGGTGTCCAATTCTTTCAAAACACCAAGCTCACCACGTTCTACCATCAAGCTCTCCATCAGATCAGTGTGTGTTGAAGCAGTCATACCAGATTATGAAGAAAGTACCAGTTTTTGAAGGGATCAGATAAGGGAGATGTATACACGAGGGGGGACCCAAAAATCCCCCAGAATTATCTTCTGGAGGGCAGGTCCCTAGTAGTACAGGCTTCCCTCCACTACCTGAGTGTTCTAGGAACCCATCTGTACCAGTGTACCAGCTGTTGGTGTTGTTGAGAGGCTGCATTTGGCTTCAGTGATTTTTTTCTGAAGACTCTCTGAATGCATTCGCCCATTTCACTATGGGTGATTTACAAGTGCACCTGCCCACACCGTGCTGAGTGTTCAGCAGTTTTTGACCGAAAATGGCATGGCTCCTGTGCCCCACCTCCCTTTTCATGTGATCTTGACCTAGGGCGACTTGGTTACTCTGGATGAAAAAAGCCCTGAACGGGAAATGTTTTAATACTGCGGAAGAGGTGAAACAAAAAACAGCAGATGCACTAAAAGGCATCAAAATCGATGAGTTCAAAAAGTGTTTTGAGCAGTGGACAAAAATTCTCAAAAGGTCTATTGCATCAAATGGAGAGTACTTGGAAGGTGGCTGAAGTTTAAACATGTAAGAACAAATACACAATTTTTAATAAATAACTTCTGCGTTTTTTGGGGTCTCCCCTCATGTTTTACCCCAGGAAGGTGCAGCCGTGGTTGACAGGGCAATAAGCAACAGCGAGAATGCTCCTCTCAGGAGGCTGTTTTCTAGTGATGGGGGCGCGTCGCTCCGTGGTTGGTAGAGGTCCATTGCTGGGGCAGACGTGCCCTTTTCATGTATAATAATGACATTTAAAATAAACTTAAAAGAATTATAACAACTTACAGAAATGCGCACAAATAATAAACATACAGTGTCATGAAATTTCACAAAGTGGATGTACTGATAACCAACACCCAAACCAAGAAACAACCTTGCCAGGATGCAAAAGCCCATTTTGTGTTACTAACCACCTCTCATCCAAGGGTAACCACTACCCAGGTTTCCAACATCACACATTACTTTTGTCTCTTTTCAACCTTTATATAAATAAACACATGCAGTATGTACTTTTTTGTGTGTCTGGCTCCTCATTCTTTTAAAAAAAATTTTTAAAAACCGGTTTACTGATTTTAAAGAGTATGGAAGGGAGAGTGTGAAAGAGAGAAACATCAATTGGCTGCTTCCCATACGTCGCCGAATGGGGATTAAACTCGCAATCTAGGTATGTGCCTTGACTGGGAACTGAACCCCCAACCTTTTGGTGTACAGGATGATGCTCCATCCAGCTGAGCCGCACCGGCCAGGGCTGGCCCCTCATTCTTGGCATTTGTTTGTGAAATTCCACCATGTTGTTGCATGCCAACAGATCGTTCATCCCATTTCTGTGTACTATTTTGTTGTATAAACACGCCATTTCTGTGTACTATTTCCATGTATAAACATCCATTCTTTTGCGGATTGACAGTTGGTTTACTTCCAGTTTTAGGTCTAAAACAAGGGTCAGTAAACTGTGTGTGTGTGTGTGTGTGTGTGTGTAAAGGCGAGAAAGTCAATGTTTTAGGCTTTATGGGCCACAAATGGTTTCAGTTGCATATTCTTTACAAAACTTTTTACACCCACTAAAAATGTTTAGCTCATGGGTCATACAAATACAGCTATTGGCAGTAGTTTGCTCACCCTGATCTAGACCATGCTGATCCTGAAGATTCCTGTTACACGTCATGCCTGTTGGATGTGGATCTGGGAGCGGAGTTGCTGGGTTACAGGTAAACATGCACCTTTACCAATGTCATGTCAGCAGTGTGCGTGAGTTCTAGTTTTTCTACGTCTGTGTCACACTTAGCGGTGCCAGTCTTTTAAATTTTAGCCACTGTGGTGGCTATAGAATGGCATTTCATCATGGTTTTAATTTACGTTTCACTGATGACTAATTGTGACTGAGATTCTTCTAAAATATTCACTGGCTGTTTTTCTTTTGTAAAGTGCCTGTTCAAGTCTTCTACCCATTCTTTTATTGTGTTTCTGTCTTTTGTTGTCGGTTTACAGAATTTTAATTTTGTTAATATATTTTGGATATTTGCATAGATCGTGGGATTTATGTATTGTAAATATCCTCTCTATGTCTGTGACTTGCCTTTTCACCCTCTTAATGTTATTTTTTTATAAGCAAAAGTTCATACATTTAATATAGTGAAATGTATAGATATTCTTCCCCCTTTTTGGTTAGTACTTTTGTGTCTTGTTTAAGAAATTTCATAGTAATGATTTTTAAAGACACCTTCATCAGTACATCCTTTATATTATATGTCATTTAAAAATAAGATAATTTAAGGGACTTTAATCTTAAGTGATGGCTTAATTACCTTGAATTAGTAGCTATAATCACATTACACTGTATCAGTGATTTTTAATCTTTTTCATCTCATGGCACACATAAACTACTTACTAAAATTCTTCAGCACACCAAAAGTATATTTTTTCCTGACCTGACAGAAAGTAGGTGTAATTTTTTATTCACTCCCACTGGATGGCTATTGTTGTGTTGGCTGTTGTCATTTTTAAATGTGACAACATTTAAAGGGAATTTTCTAAGGGAAAAGAGGTCAGTGCCACTGATCAAATAGTCAGGTACTGCATATTTTAAAAATTCTTGTGGCACAGTGGTTGAAAATTGCTGCACAATATGTATGTATATATGCGTATGCATGTGTGTGTGTGTGTGTGTGTGTAGCTATACACACATATAGAGTCTTTGGAATATCAAGCTCTCCTAGACTGTATAATGTTTTATTTGATGATCTAAAACTTCAATTTACCTAAAAGTTTTTCATGGGATGAAACAAGATAATTCTGTACTCTTTTATAAATAATACATTGGTGAATTTTTTAAAAACATATTTTTAAAGGTTTATTTATTTTTAGAGAGAAGGGAAGGGAGGGAGAGAAACATCGATGTGTGAGAGACACATTGATTGGTTGTCTCACACGCTCCCAACCAGGGACCCAGTCCACAACCCGGGCATGTCCCCTGACCAGGAATCGAACTGGCGACCCTTCAGTTTACAGGCCGGTTCCCCCAACCCACTGAGCCACACCAGCCAGGGCTTGATGAATTTCTAATAGTGATTAAAAGTTAGAGTAGGGCAGACAATTATTTTAAAATGGACATCACTAAAGGCTTAGTTTTTCAAAAGCTGAATATTAACTTTGTTATACAGGTTTTCAAACACCTGAAATTCCTTTGCAGTCAAAGAAAATTTTCCATTTAAGAAGATCACAAGCCTAAGGCATTAACATGGCTAAATCAAAAATACCAAAATTAAAAGGGAACCCTGCTGGCAAAAAAGAAGACATGAAGTATGAGAACTCAGGTTAAAATTTCAGAAAAAATGTTCCATGAAATCACTTTAGTCATTTTTTTGGAGCCAGACTGGGCAAAAGTTGAAGTGGAAATGGCTGGAACCTCTTTACAGAACACCTCCTTAATAATTCATGACCAGATTAATCTCTCTTGGCATGCTTACTCATCTGAAAAAGATTGATTAGAAGAAAATTCCTTTGGAGCTGACAGGGAGGCACTTGCCATCAACAGAAGAGAAACCACATACGGTAGTGTCTGAGATAACAGACTGATAGGCAAATACCAGGGTGACTCGCTTTAAGAAAATACGAAATAAATATCCAAGTTTACAAGACAAATTAGGAGCTCATCACATTAAAATCTTCTGTATTCAAATGTCTGTAGATTGAACATATTTCACAGCACTGACTGCAGACCCAATTCCTAAAGCCTCTTTAAAAGGCCTCCAAATTGCTTTTCCAGTCTTATCTCCCACAACCCAGCTACATGAATCCATTGCTCTAGCCTGCTGATTCTCAAAGGAAAGGATTTGTCTAAAACCCGCATCCTTTCCAAAACTGGGGAGCACATAAATATCATTTGACGTTTCCCCCAACTCTGCCGGCTCCGTCACCTCCCACCCCAAGCGTCTCCTCTCTCCCGATCGCTCTGACGAGCTCCGCTGGACTGAACCGCCGTGACTGTAGAATTGCTAGGTCTCGCAGACAGATGCGGAGGAAAAACAGCTACCCCAAACTCCTCTCACCAGGTTTTCCCCCTTGTCCCTAGGCAGCTCTCGCAATTTTTTTTTTACACGTCTAGACAACGCTTGTCCTCCCCTTCTGTCCGACCAAACCCTGCCAAGGTCCCGGCCCTCCTCTCTTGCCCCCCGTGAATGTCTCCCCTGGGCGCCACGGTCCAGAGAGACTTCCACTCTTTGGACCTCCGAGCTGCCTGGTCATGGCCTCCATGTCCTTGAGACTCGCCCTTGTACCCAGTGAAGCACCTTCCCTTCTTGAGAGGGAAAGAGGAGGACGACAATGACAGTGATGATGTGATATTAATGACAGCAATGGTCGTAACAGTGGCAGCTACTGCCGAGTGAGGGCCTAGCGCTACCACCCTTTGGAGGGGCGCTACCTGGCATGTTCCCTCAACTTCATTTTTTTTAATCCTCACCCAGGGACATTTTTTCATTGATTTCAGAGAGAGAGAGGAAGGGAGAGAGAGAAACATCAATGTGAGAGCAGTATCACTTGGTCGCCTCCCATACACACCTGGACTAGGGATCGCATGCACCCAGACTGGGAAACAAACCTGCAAGCCAGGCCTGTGGCCCGGCCAGGACTGAACCTGCAACTTTCTGCTACAGGATGACACTCCCACGAGCTGAACCCACACTGGCCAGGGCGTTCAGCTCCATCTTTCAGGGAGGCCTGGCACTTCGAAGGCACACACACGGACTGGTAGAATAAATGAAGAAGCAGAGCCAGGGAAGTGAAGTCACTTGTCCCAGGTCACGCAGAGCTGGGCAGTGCTTCCTCCCCACTTCCTTGCTATGGCCCTGGATGTCTGAGAAAGGCACAGGAGGGGGAGGCATCCACAAACAGCAAATAGCAGCCAGCCCTGGATTCATTACTCAGCTGCATGTGCTGCTCATTCGAAATTAATAGAATAAACACAGCTAGAGAATTGTGGACCTGGAAGGTCCTCAGTTAGACACCCCCCTCCCCACGTCTACATCTATGAAGCCCCAGACTGGGGAACAGGACTCCTTTCAAGATCCTCAGTAAGTCGAGGGGTCGGTGAGAAGAACTCTGTTGGGACGCAGATCTTTCTGGTGGCACTGAATGAGTGACCTTTGGGATTCCCTTAGCTCTCCGGTCTCATCCATAAAATGAGGAGCGTGACCGCACTGGTTTCATAGGTCCCTCATATCTCCACAGAGCTCTGTGGCCCTCCTCTGGGAACCGTTTACAAGGTGTCAGTCAACTCTGCCAGGACAGCTGGCCTAAAGGTCTCCTCTGTGCTTCCGGTCCCAAACACGTGCAGGATTTAAATGTACGAGGTCTGTCTGGAAAAAAGTCCAGCCATTGTCACTATAACGAGAACAGTTTGTGTGACATCGATGTAACCTGGCCGCCAAGGAGAGTGGACTGGAATGTGCATGCGTGAACAATGATGTCTTCACGGTACTAGTTGGTGGGGGCGGCAGACACCACTGAGTGAGCGTGAGTGCTGTGTGGCCACAGCTGTGGGCAGCTGGTGACTGGCAGCTTCATCACGACAATGTGCCTGCTCGTGCATCATGTCTCGGGCAGAGTTTACGGCGAACCACCAAATCACCCAGGTGACTCAGCCCCTCTATAGCCCAGATTTGGCGCCCTGCAACTTCTAGCTTTTCCCAAAACTAAAGTCACCTTTGAAAGGGAAAAGATTTCAGACTGTCAATAAGATTCAGGAAAATACAATGGGGAGCTGAAAGCAATTGGGAGAATTTGGGTGAGGTCTCAAGGTGCCTACTTTGAAGGGGACAGAGGCATCACTGTCCTATGTACAATGTTTCTTGTATCTTGAATCTTCTCCAATAAATGTCTCCATTTTTCACATTGCATGGCTGGACACCTTCTGGACAGGCCTCGTATTTCTCTCAGCTGTTCCTCAGGCCGACTCTCTTTAACCACCCTCTGGGCATCACGCTGTTCTTGTCACAAACCCACATTCTAGCCTTCGCTCAGGTACATAGGGCCCAATTGTTCTGAGTTACAAACACAAAGCAATTCATTTTGTTACTCAAGAAATGAAACTGATGTGTTTTATGGTCTTAGACCAGCCACCTCACCTGAGACGAACTCAGCGCGGGGCCAGGCGGGGCCAGGCCGGGTGGGAGGGGATGCTCTTGATGGACAGGCACAGGTGCTGCCTCTCACCACTGATCTGAGTAGCAGGAAGACGAAACGGACTTCTGGATGTTAATGTACCTGCTTTGTGCGAGCCACCTTCATGGGAGCTTATTATTATTATTTTAAAGAACCTGTTCAACCCTTCAAAGTCAGCATTATCACCTCCTTTTTGCATGCGAGGGAGTGGCATTCAGGGACATGACATAGTTGGCACCAGGTGATAAGGCCAGTCAAGAGCGGAGGGGAAACCCGGTCCTGCCAAGCTACCCTGCGGCGCCTGCTACACCTGACGTCTCCCAGGGACGGGCAGCCTGGGCCAGCTTCCCCTTCAGGCCACAGACACAGTGCCGTGGGCCCACGCCACTTGTAAGGACCCATAAACGTGTTTTAATTTCTTAAATTCAGAAGAAGAAGAACATAATAGTGATGAATAGCCAATAATGAGTCCAGCGTGTAACTTTATACCAACGCAACCATAAAACATAATTGTTAGTATTTTCTATATTCTCACTCGAGGACATGTTTACTGATTTGAGAGAGAGAGGAAGGGGGCGAGAGAGAGAGAGAGAGAGAGAGAGAGAAATATCGATTGGTTGTCTCCTGTACACATTCCAACTGGGGATCGAACCTGCAACCAGCGTATGTGCCCTGACTGGGAATTGAACACACAACATTTTGGTGAAATTGGGTGACACTCCAGACAACTGACCCAACAGGTCAGGGTGGGTATACTTTTAATAGAGGGAAGGACCTGGCAAAGCAAAGCTGCCTGGGACCCGCGGAGGCCACTGGGTCCTGGCACCCAGTCTCTGCTTTCACTGCTGACTCCCTCTCTCAGGGCACAGGCCAGACACTGTAAGGACGTGCCCAGGAAACGTCAAACCTGTCTGTCTGTTCCGAAGGCTGCCACTCCATCCCATTCCTTACCCCCCTACTCGTTGCAGTACAGATTTGATATTATATAAATAGCTCTTTGCTCCTTGTTGTGGTGGACCGAGGGCTTGGGGCAGAGGTATGTTTGCTGGGAAAAGAGGCCATCAGGAATGTGTCATCGGGACAGGGTCACCTGAAGAGTCCTACTGAAGTAATGAGACCAAACACGCAGGAAATTTAAATTTAAGCAGAGACAAACAGAGGTGTTCACAGTCACTTCATTATGCTGCAAAAACATTCACGTGGGAGGCCAGGCTGAATGCAGCCCTATGCCTGTGACATGCACTATCTGAAGGAAAACCAATTTTGAGGTTTTAAGAAAGAAAAAAAGAAGAGCTCATCCTGCTAATGACTGTCTCCTCCCAGTCCTGAAGCTGGAGCCTTATTTTCAGAAAGATCAAATCCAGCAAACAGCTCCACTTACCTGAAAGACGGCTTTTGAGTTTCATTTTACTGCTGCCCTGTTTGGGACTTTCCAGGTTCCCCTTGGAATCCTCGGAGCCACAGGAGTCTTGGGGCTCATCTGCCCCGGGGATCTGAAAAGCAGAGAGCACAGGGCTGACGGGAGAAGGTTATCTCCAGGCTCCGGGAGCAGCAATCCAGGTACCACGTGAAGGGGTAAGGATCAGAGCGCAGCCCTGCTGAAAATCTGGAGGCAAGTCCTTCCCCAGCAGCACCTCACCTCACCGCACAGCTCAGAGCCAGGGAGGTTGCAAAGTTTGTTTTTTTTTAAAATCCTTACCCAAGGACATGTTTATTTATTTTTTTAAAATCCTTACCCAAGGATATGTTTATTGATTTTAGAGAGAGAGGAAGGGAGAGACAGAGGGAGAAAAACACTGATGTGAGGGAGAAACATCAACTGGCTGCCTTCAGTACCTGCCCCAAGCAGGGATCAAACCCTCAACCCAGGCATGTGCCCTGACCGGGAATTGAACCCACAACCTTTTGATGTTCCGGACGACGCTCTAACCAACCAAGCCACTCAACCAGGGCAGGTCCCAAAGTTTATAGGGCTCGAGGGGGTCTTTTCATTTCTTGAGAAAACTTGTTGGACAAGATACCGATGTGGTCAGTGGTCACAAAGCCACAACTAGAGCCCAAGTCTCTTGACTTGTAGTTTAGTGCTTTTTTTCCTCTAGAGCAAATTGCAGCAAACAGTAAACCAGAAATTTAAGTTCAATTCTTCAGTTCTTAAAATACAGCAAACTTTGATTTTGTGGCAGCCAAATACCCACAGCCCTCGGGCCAACTGGATGTTTCGTGCGCTACACTCCTGAGTACTGATTAAACACCTTCCGGAGTCAGGCACTGCCAGGGCCACGTGGAGGTGTCCACGTAAAGTCTGCCTACACACCTGTAAGTTGTATGTCTACACTACCAGGCTCCAACAGGTGATGCAGAAGGACGGCCCCAAGATCTACCGGGTCCCCCTTCAAGCTTTAAAAAAAAAAAACAAAAAACACCAAAATTATGTTTCTTAGAGAGGAGACTTATGTGCTGACAGTGGTTATAAAAAATTGGGGGGGGGGGTAAATTAATATGTACAAAACTGATGAGGTATATCCAACAGTGAGCCTACGCATTTGAAATTTCATTTTTTCTTTGTGGCTTTTGGGAAATAAAGTCATATTAATTGAAATACAAAAGATTCATGTGAAGGAACATATACTGCAAAATGACAGAAGATACCCTTTAACACCTGGCAGTCATTGGAAAGTCATGTAATTATAAGGTAAAAGAATCTCTGAATTTTAATGAATAATAAAAATTATACATGGTATCTAAAATTCAGTACATGAAAATGTATGAAGTAAGCTATAAGGGAAATCTCCCAGGTAAACCTCCTTTTAAGAGGTAATTGCTTTTATATAAATTGTATGTAACGCATAAGATTTAGAAGATTCGCTCTTTGCCCTTAAGTTCAAATATCTTTCTGGATAAGATACAGGGAAAAACGGTCTGAGAAATGAGGAGATGTTGGCAAACTGAGGAAGGGGCTTTGGGAAAACAAATTAATCCTGACATATAAAACTAAGATAAATTTGGTGAATTCCTATTACAATGTCAGGGACTGGCAGGTCTCCAGGTTTAAATTATGAAGTAAAGGCAATAATGGAATCCTGAAGGTGATTTTAGAGATTCTTTGGAGAGATGTGTTTCCCACCCCCAAATTGTGACATTAATTCAGACATAGTGCAAAAGAACCCTCTTGGAGACATGCCAGAGATCTGGGGCACAGAAAACATGCAAATAGAAATAATCCAGAGAGAAGCCTCTCCTTTGCATGGTTTAAAAATTTTACAGAAAGAACCTGTCTCCAGACTGTAAACAGCAATTGCAGGTTAAATTCCTGGTTCTTGCTGGTTACACCCCCTGACTGAGGCTGCCAGCCTACAGGGAACCCATGTGAGAAGTTCACGTCAAGGGAGGAAAACCACCTCGGCCTGCTGTTTCTGGATGTAGACATTTCCTCCATCCCTTCTCCTATTTTTTTTTTTCCCCCAGCATAGCCGCAGGTTTGCATACAATCAGAAATTTTGGAGATAACATAAACACGCACAGGAATAAAACCAAGAAGAAAAGTGGCCTGCTCGCAGTTCTGCAACTCACTGCAGGCCAAAGGCTGTGACCTATTCAGTCCCTGATTTCCAGCTTCATGTATTGCTAGGGTATTTTCTGCCCCTCCATCATAAGGTGCTTTTAAAGATTTTACTCATTTTTAGAGAGAGGGGAAGGGAGGGAGAAAAGAGGGAGAGAAACATCAATGTGTGGGGTTGCCTCTTGCACACCCCTCTCTGGGGACCTGGCCTGCAACCCAGGCATGTGCCCTGACTGGTAATCGAACCAGTGACCCTTTGCTTTGCAGGCTGGTGCTCAATCCACTGAACCACACCAGCCAGGGCTGCTTTTAAATGAATAACTTTGGATGATCAATACTGAACCCCAAGGCCTAGGATGGCTATGATTGTGGCCCAACACAAAATCGTAAATTTACTTAAAACTTTTTTTTTTTTTTTTGCCTCATCAGTTTCCGTTAGTGTTCGTGTACTTAATGTGTGGCTGAGGACAGCTCTCCTTCTCTCGGTGTGGCCCAGAGACACCAAAAGGTTGGACACCCCATCCCATTAACCTCAATTTTTTCCCACTTAATTTTCACAGCAAACGTGTGTCCCAAGGTAAATAATATCATCTCCATTTGACAGATGAGGAAGTAGAAGTGAGACCCATAGGTTTGTCACTGAGACCCGTTTGTCATAACACATATCCAGGGCCTAGCACTGATTGTGTGTGAAGAAAGTCAGCACAAAAGGAATGGTATAGATCTTTACAAGGGCACACAGACGCTCCATCAAACCCGAAGTCCTTATGAGACCAACGCTGGTGCTATACACGGTTCTTGATTTTCACAGGCTGAGGGAGGTGGTTTAGAAGTAAGAATCACTGCCTTAAAGAACAATCTTTTCTGTAGTCCTCAAATACACCGAAGGATGAGATGAGATTTGGTTTCTATGATCTATATAATACCAGTAAGATTTCTTATATCCAAGGAATCTATGGTAAAGATGGTGTCTGTCACATTACTATCGAAAGCCTGGAGCTAAAACGGATTAAGAGCGGCCCCAGAGCCCCCTCCAAGTGCTGCAAAGGCACCCTGCGCTGGTGAGCTCTGGCACAGGGCTCCGGATTTAAATGAAACCGTTTCCTCTTCCAAGAGAAAACTGGTCTGTCACGATTTTAGGTGGCTTGTAACTCAATGAACAGGAAGTAGGTTGCTCAGATACATTAGTTCTACGTTATTTCAGGAAGTAACAACCCTGGAAGTGCAATTTTGATTACAATGATTCTCTCTTTAGTTTGACTAAACTAAATGACTATTGTCTGAAAATATTCACATTCTAAGAAAGTCCTTTTGTTGGTTTTACTTTTTTTCAGATTCACAGAACAAATCAAACTGCTCTGGAAATGATGTCATTTTAGTTGCCCTAAAATGAAATGTGCACAAAGTTCTCCTGGAAGACCGTTGGTTCAGAGAAGCAGTTGATATAATCTATTATTCATCAGCAATTTCTAACTCATATGTCATACAACAATGCCATTCTATTAATGGGATCTGATACAACTTGCCAATTTCCAAGTTAGGGCCTCTCTGTTTGCGTGCTGCGCCACACCTGTAACCTAGGAGATTCTCTCTCAATGAAGGCGCACCACGTCTAGCTTCCGGTTTCACAGTGAGGTGGTAGGGCAGAGTGGCTAAGAGTCCAGCTGCCTGGGCACAAATCTCAGCTGCATCATTTATTAGCAATGCAGACACTTTTATCAACCTTTCTGAGCTTCAATGTCCTCTCATTTGAACAATGGGGCTCGATTTAAGAATGAAATGATATAGCCTTCAGATAAAAGATGGACAGATTTCCCTCCTGAAACCATACTAAAATGACAGCGAAGAGATTTTAAAAATGAAAGACAGAATCCCACAGGGACACAGAGAAGAGAAGATGACAGTAAGAAAGTTCTAAAGCCAGCAAGGAGACAAGTGCGTGGTGCAAGCTGAGGAAGCTGAATCCGCACGTGGCCCCGAGAAGGCCCCGGGCAACTCGGTGTGCAGGCGACTCAGTTGCCAGCAAGGGAGCTCAGCTGAAGCAGTGGTAGAAGGAATGGCTGAACGAGTTGACACTGATTTACGCAGGTATGTGGAGTAGATCTGATTTTGAGGGAAGATTCCCAGGGTCAGGGATGACCCAGACGAGCTTTGGCGTGCATCAGAGTCACAAGGAGCTATAATAAGAGCTCGGGCTTATGGACCTAGACCTATGCAATTCACCAGTGTCCTGGTCCAAAAAGGACCAGCCTCCAAAGCAGATGCGGGCTGAGCGGGAATTTCCCCAGTCCTCCCTCCCCTCCCCTGAGCTTACTCCAAAGACGGAGTGGGGAGAATGAGGCTCCCTGCTGCACCCGGGTAGCCCCTGGCCAAAAAAGGCGAAAAAGTTGTTACCATCAGGCTACGTTCTATTCAGAATATAGGTATATAAGCAGCAACTGTGGGAACCTCTGACCCACTCTCCGTATGGACTATGAACACATGAAGGGTATATGATGAAATTCACATGTACCGTGGGCTGTGACATCTATTGTGCCCATAATATATTAATAGCACATTGATGTCAGAAGCAGTTCTTTAATTCCATACAATAGGAACGTGAGTACTTATTTCTGAAGAGTTAACCTTACCTTGTAATTTATCTTACAGACTTATGATGAGGATTAAAGAATGCATGTGAGGATACTAGGAGAGTTCCTAATGTGTATAATGGGGGTATAGGGAAGGTTTACTTAAAAAAACAAAAACAAAACCTCCCCAAAACCAAAACCCTCAATCTTTCTTCCTACCAGGTGCCAGCGTGCCTCTAGATTTAGTGATTGCATAGACTATGATTACAGCTCTGGGCTGCAGTGTGTTCTAACTTCATACCTATAGGAGGTAACAGATTTAATTACCAGATAAAGCAAAAGCTGTGGGGACCCAAAGAGAATG